TGGAACGACATATAAAGCGATGATGAAAACCGATGTTAAGAAGTCGATCAGGGATTGGTTGGCGATGAAAAGATTGGTAACACTGTTGAGATCATCGACTAGGAAGATGACAAGGAGCACGAGGCCGTTTCCGGCGATACCGAATACACCAAACGTAGTGTATACAATCGTTGTGGAGAGCTGGTTAGATCCTTCATTCGTTGCAACTTCTGTACCGTTATCCATGTTATAAAAGTCACACTGTAATGCGATTTGGTTATCGCAACATAAATTTTAAAACAATTCTGTTGACGGCTGTTTGATTTTGCTATTGCAGCAACTGCTTCAAATATTATCTTTAAGTCATTTAACGGGCGTATAATTTTGCTATTGCAGCAATTTGCTTAAAGTATATCTTTAAGTCCTTTGAGGCCGTATGATTTTGCTATTGCAGCAATTGCTGAAAAGTTATTTTTGAGTCCTTTGACGGTTGTATGATTTCGCTATTGCTTAAGATATAACTTTAAGTCCTTTGCCGGCTGTATGGTTTTGCTACTGCAGCAATTTCTTAAAAGGTATTTGAAGTCCTTTTACTGCTGTATGTGGGTAATTTTTAAGTGGAATGTCTCTTTAAATAGCCTGTTGAGGCAACCCTAATGCTCAGCGAGCGCGTTTTTTTTGCGTAATGAGGTAAGGTCATTTGGAAACGCGTTTGAGAAAGGAGCTCTCTGGCCGAAACTGATTTTAAAAGGTTTACTTTGTAGCACGTAACAATGGACGTATGCTGTGATTTGTGAGGTTTTGGAATCAACACATTGATAAGAACTCGACTCGGTCTCCTTGAAGTAACATGCACTGTAAACAGAAAATGTTTATAACTATTTGAGACTACTCAAACATGCGGCATGAAAGTTTGGTTCAAACACTTAAGATGTTTCTTGTTACGTTTTGAATATGAGGGAATTTAAAGAGTAATCCTCTAGAGACATTCGTCTATAAAAAGAGTAACAAAGCTCACACATCATATAGACAAATGTGCTGCTGCTGATTTCATTGTACAGATCGAGTTGGTGATGAAAAAAAAGAAGCTTCAAACACTACAACGAACCGTCTTCTTTTTCTCATAATTCAATGAAACGTCAAAGCTTCCTCGCTTCGCGCGGGAGGGGGAACTGAATTCAGACGATAAGGGTTAAGAGTCGAGAACGGTACAACAAATCGTCTTCTGTCTATAATAATTTAATGAAACGTCAAAGCTGCCGCATTTTGCGCGGGATGGGGGAAACTGAATTCTGAATTCAGACAATTAGGGTTAAGAGTCGAGAACGGTACTTCAAATCGTCTTCTTTCTATAATAAGTTAATGAAACGTCTAAGCTTCCGCGCTTCCCGCGGGAGGTAGGGGGGGGGGGGTGGACTGAATACATATGAGAGAAAGCCGGCGATTCGCTGTACTCCCAGATCGAAATTCCGATAGGATCCAATAGCCTAATGGACCATCAGAAACAATTAGAGATATTGGTGTATATTGGTTTCAATAGGGAAAGTGAAATATTGGACCAACAGAAACCAATAGAAAATATTTATTGGACCAACACCAACCCACAGAAAAAAATGCAGATGGACCAACAGAAAGCTTCTATTGGACCAACATCCACCCACGTCTTCTATGGGTTTCTGTTGGTCCATTAGATATTTTCTATGGGTTCCTGTTGGTCCATTGGAGATCTTTCTATGGGTTTCTAATGGTCCCATTTTCTGAATTCCCTATCGAAACCAATAGGCCTATTGGTTTTTTTATGGTTGAATAGTCTATTGGCTTCTATTATTAAATCAATAATGATAAATCAAAATTCGATTTTAGCAACTGTTCACCAAAAAGGTATATTCTAATCTCAATTGCATTAACACTCACATAGATCACTTGAAGTGAGTTTAAGAATATCCTTTATGTATCTAAAGGCTTGTACTACTCCATTTAATAAACATACATCAGGAAGCTGTAATGAATGGAGATCCCGTCCAAGAGGCTCCTTTGAAGTCATCCGTGGTACCGCGCGTCTTTTGTTTCCCCTACCGTAATCCCCTTAATCCCTTACAGCTCCCTAGTAGCACTAAGTCCTCCCTTTCCACACACAGCCCAGCCCAGCGAGCACGGCGGTTTTTGCTTTGCCGGCTCGTACTTTGGGTGAATAGTGGTGCTAACTTGACAACTTCTAGCCCTAAATCAATAAATGCGCAAACATATAACACAATTTCATTTAGTTCTTTAGGAAGATAAACCTTTGGACTACCTTCCTAGCTATGTACAAATTTCGGAAATTTTCGGAAAATGTCAATAATTAGATGAGAAAATCATGATTATGAAAAAATCTTTCATTCGCTCTAACTCATGATTTCCTTGGTCGATTTCGCTGGTTAAAATGGCCATGTCTTCAGTAGAGCTATCCGAGAACGGAAAACGCATTTGATGACTAATAGAAAGTTGCATTGGTCATAGCTTCCTGCATACATGTTGTTTCTTGGTTAGTAATCATTATAATCAATCTATCTATTGCTAAAACGTGAATGTAATTGTAACATGATCAGACAAGTAATCTATTGGTCATTAATTGCCGAAAGAAAATACAAATCACAAAACTGATGTGCATTGTCATATTAAGTTGCTTAACAAATTATAATAAATGTATTTTTCTGTGAAAACGTATAATTTGTTAAGCAACTTAATCATGATAACTTTAAAAGTAATCATGAATATGCATTAGATAGATTTAGCTGTTGGTTTCTATTGGTTTCTATGTTTCTTAATTCTATTGGTCATAATGGTTTCTAGTCCCATTGGGTTCTAATTGGTCTCATTGGTTTTCTATATTGGTCCTATATTGTCCTATCTGTTCTATTGGTTTATATTGGTATTATTGGTTTCTACTGGTCCTATTGGTTTCTATTGGTCTTGTTGGTTTCTATTGGGTTTATATGGGTTTCTGATGGTTTGATTGGTCTCTTTTGGATTCAATTCTATGGGTCCAATAGAAGCCATTATAGACCAATAGAATTTTTTCTCATGGTCTCTATTGGTCTCTATGGGATTTTCGACCTTGGCTGTTCTCAACTCTTAATCCATTTCTGAATTCAGTCCCCCCCCCCCCCCCCCCCTCCTGCGCGAAGCGCGGAAGATTAGACGTTTCATTAAATTATTAGAGAATGAAAACGATTCGTTGTACCGTTTTCGACTCTTAATTAGCCCTACTAATGTCTGAATTCAGATTCCCTTTATCGCGCGAAGCGCGGAAGCTCTGACGTTTCCTTAAATCATTAGAGAAAGCAGACGATCTGTTGTACTGTTCTCGACTCTTAATCCTTATCTGAATCCAATTTCCCCCTCCCGCGCGAATCGCGGAGGTCTTGATGTTTTCTTAAATTATTAGAGAAAGCAGACGATTGGTTATACCGTTCTAATCCTTGTCTAAATGGAGTTTCCCCTCCAGCGCGATGCGCGGAAGCTTTGGCGTTTCATTAAAGACCGTCAATACTACTGGGCCAGAAGGGATTAGACCACCCAGCCAGGTCACTAACCGGTGGCTATCTCATCAACTCAGCTCTCAACTAACATAAGCAAAGAGGATCATGGGGGACCAACAGGCACCGATTGGGGTCGTTTTCTATCTAGAGGGAGCAAGTAGCTAAAAGTAGGACAGTAAGGCTTTAAAATATAAGAGAAAAATGAAGATTCGTTGTACCGTTCTTGACCCTTGTTTGAATTTAGTTTAACTGAAAAATTTAAACCTCTGATTTCTTTAGCTGATATTATAGGAAAGTGAAACTTCGAGAAAATACAGTCTCCCTCGATGTCGTCACAGCGGATTAAAAGTCACAGTTCGTAGGGGAAAAAAACATCGTCGGCCAACCAACTTTATACATCTCACCGACTTTAAACTTCCGCATTTATATTATAGTACACGAGGATCGAGCAAGAATACCGACACAGCTGACCCGACACAGCAACGTATTTATGCATGTCTTTCTTGCTCCCAGTGTACGAGACAACTCCACCCCCCCCCCCCCGTGGCGGATCCTGGGAAAAAAACCCGCTAATTTTACTTTTTTGGGGCGATGGACCCCCCTGGCGGTCAAGGGGGGGGGGGGGGGTTGCAATTTTTCGAATTTTCGAGCGCCCTTGCTTCCTTTTGTCTTTAAAAAAAATAAAATCATTTTCTCCTTTTCTTTCTTTTGCTTTCTTTCCTCTTCACCCTCTTTTTCTTTTTTCTCTTTTCTTTCCTTTCTTTTCATTTTTGCTTTCTCTTGCTTTCTTTGCTTTCTTTTCCTTTCTTTCATTTCTTTTCCTTTTTTCCCTTTCTTTTCCTTTTCTTTTTTTTCTTCTTTCCCTTTCCCTCTCTTTTTTTCTCTCTCCCTTTTCTCTTTTCCCCGACGGCAGCGCAATTTTACCGACAATATCCTGACAGGTGGGGGTGGAGCACTGATCTCTACGGATTTTTCCGTAGAGATCAGTGGGGTGGAGGCGTCACACCTTACCCCCGTTTGACGCCCCTGCCGGAAAGCCTCGGGTGAGATTTCCGTGGTCTAGAACAACTTTTGTTTAAAAAAGTCTGCAATATATTTTAATTTGTTAGTAGACCCGTCTGACTATTGGCTGCACACGAAAGTCAAAAGAGAGGAAGACAGTTCATTCAAAAAGTCAGAGCGCCACCATAAACCGTATAACAACAAAAGCAAGCAAAGTTTTCAAACAATATGACAGGTGTATCGATCGGACGAATCGATTCACCGTAACCAGGGATATTTAACAGATCAATAAGGATGTATAAGGTTATATGAAGCCAACTAAACCTTAATAAAATATCAATTATAGATTTTTTCAAACAATTAAAAGTGACATGAAGAGTTGTGCAATGTTTAAATGGTCAAATTTCAAGAAATTCAGAACTATAATTATTTTTTATTTCAATTGATAATATGTAACCCCTCTTCGCGGAATGGAACTGTCCGCTAACAAAGGCTGTTTTGTACACAGCGAACCCTGCGAAGGGAATTGTATACCTGGAGCATTTCACGTATTTGCGCGTGTACTATTTATTTTTCAGTACTGAAATTGCAGCACTACTATGCAGGATACAAGTTTAACATCGGTATTACATCAATTCAAAGGGAAAATGTCAGAATCATGTAGGAAAGTGAACAAAAACGTGTCGTAATGGCACAGCTACCAACACTTTGTATGGTCAATTATGACCAAGAAGAACCGCCAGGTTTTCGGTACCGCTTGCCGCCGGATCTCGGGCGTCGACGCCGTGGGAATCCCGATCCTTCGTCGCGGCACGCCTTCTCTTCTCTTCCCAACTCGCCGAGATGTGCTCGAACACGTAGCGCCCAAGCAGGCCAGGGGCATTCGTCTGCACTTCCCCCTGGCCAGAGACAGGGCCTGCTCACCTCCAAAGATGACTCCTATGCAACTCAGGTATGCATGAATAGCCTATAAGAAAAGCACAAGCAATGGATTAAAGTATTTATAAACAAAGATATCTTGAATCTAAATAAGATTAAAAGAGATTTAAAAAAAATAATATTTGAACTTTAAAGAGAATTATATTGAACAATTAAGGCAAAACGCTTGGCGTAATTATTTTAATCATTAATACTGCTTAATCAGATTTTGTTCTTCACAATTAGGCGTTGACCTTGAGTTATTTTTCGTAATTGCACTTTAAGTTGCAAATTATCACCCTGCAATGCGCGATTGCCAAATGAATTTGTCACTTACAGAAAAATGAAGCTGTGATCAATTACCTCATATTGTTTTATGGGCTGTTATGCCAATGGAAGGGTAAGAAATTATATAGACTCAATGGGAAATTACACAAATTTCTTGCCAAACCCCCGGCCCCCCCACTCAGGTTTCGAAATGACCGCATGCGTGTTGCCAAAATGTCCGGTAAAGGGGTACTTTTCGTGCGACAAAGTCCGGCCCGAGAATTGTAAAAAAAGGGGTGTATTTGACTTTTCACCCGGAGATTTCTTTAAAAAGGGGGTGTTTTTTCTTTTTTTCTCTCATCTATTGGACTCCTGAGAAATTATTCCGAATTTAGGGGGGTACATTGAGCATTTTTCCTAATTTAGGGGGGTCTCCAAGGCAGGAAAAGCTAGCGAAAAGCCCGCGAAAGGGGGGTTCGGAAATGTTGGTAGTCCTCAGATAGGGGGTGATTTCAAAAAGTGGGAACGAGCATATGCGTACCCTAAATAACACTGAGTGGGGGGGCCGGGGCCAAACCAGAAGGCTAACATACAAAGCCAAAAGGCTTATAGTATTTTTTAAAAGCAATATTATCTATGAAATGTCAATTGCATGTGTCGTGTTGTGATTTATACATTGAAAGGGCAAGGCTGATAGTAGTCCGGGGCTTTCTTGATACTAACGACAAGACAGTCGTAACTTATTCGCCAACTACGAAGTAATTACTACGAAGATGTATCTAATCTTCCTAACCAGTTTCATAAAGAGCTTACTAGCTAGAAATCTTGTGAAATCGATACTATCGGCGAGGAGAGAAGCCAATGCATACATGTAGCCTCAGTCGCACTTCCACAGGATAAACAAAAGTGAAAACTGCAATAATTTTATAAATTAGGAATAAAAAAGGTTGAAATTAGTACCAGGGAATAAGAGATCCAAGATACTAAAAAATTTGTTTAGATTATATCATTATACCATATAATTACTTGTAAAATACAAGTGTGAGTATTTCTTTTAGTGACCGCTGAATCAGTTTTGTTTTTGAGATGGGTAAACCCCAGGATTTTTTCATTTTATTGTTTATTAAAATACACCCTTAATATTATTCTTAGCAAAAATACAATTGCTTTGAAAGTTTTGTCCAATGTTATAGGCTTTAAAAAAATATAAAAATGACAAAACTTCAAGATTCCAAATATTAAAACACATGTTTTAAAATATTCAGTTTACACAAGTAAATGTATTAGGAGATAGAATCCTGAAAACTAGAGAATATACTTCTGACCATGGCTGGCCTGCCATAGCAGATTACCCATCCCTTCAAGGATTTTACAATGTGGAAGTAATTTTGTATAATTAGTTACATTGTAAGTCAAGAGGAAAAAGCCTCAAATATAAACATGGCATATTTTTATAGCATTTTCAAATATAAATAAGGATCTTACTCTCTGTAATTGTGTACATGTAGAAAGATCATACATGTAGCTGAAGGATTTCTTGTCCTTTTTTGACAGTCATAGTCTTTCCAATAAATGACATGTGATGGCGCTGTCCATCAAGTACACAAAGTTATGACAGAGATCTATGACGGTGTCAGAGGCGTCATAACTACTTAGTCAGGATGTTGTCCTTGATCTTGGCAAAGAGGGCTTGGTGAAATACGTAGTGGACAACTGCCAAGTAACTCAGGGAAAAAATATATACGGGGGCTCGGGGCGAATTAGCCCCCGAAATGCCCAAAAGAGCCCCGAAAGTCTTGAAAGAGCCCCCAAATTTTGCATAGAGTTCAATGCAAAACAAATTAAAGAGTGTTATTTTCATGCATGCAAGCTTGAAAAGTAGCCCCCAATTTTTTTAAAGTAATTTTTTCCCTGAAGTAACTTACTAACGCTGATTTAGTCGAGAAGTTAGACTTACATGTAAGATGGTTTAGAAAATCAGGCCCTTGGAGTACTGATCAACCCTATAGAATTATTTGTGGAGAGTTTTAAGTCAAACAGTAATGTTCAGCAATTTTGTGAAAAAAAAATTATTGACAAATGGATTTCCTGACCAGATATAGAATTATTTATATATAGAAAGTTGTTTTGAGAGTCTTAAAGTAGAAAATAACAAAATGGGTCTTGGAAAAAAAAGTAGAATGTTCTATATTATGTACATACTGGTATACCAATGGGATAAATTTATGTTTGACTCTCATCAATTTCTATAGATAAAAAACAGCTCTTCCTTGCCGCTCGCCTATCGGGAGAGACGCCGATCCCAGAGCCAAGATGCCCTCCCACTTATCTTCTCCGAAGCTTTCAACTCAAGTACACCTTACAACAGCACAGCGGATCCGCTGAGCCGGGAGGCACGGCGGGTCAAAGTGAACCCTTCTTATACCCAGCTACCACCTCTGAAGACCATGGGGGAGACCAGTCTCACCGCCAATGCAGAACTACTAGATGCTCCAATATGGAATGAGTATCTGCAAGCATGGGTCTCTAGCTCACAGGTAAGGCCTAAAATAAAAACTTGTTGTATTGCCCTTTGAGTGCCAAAACATGTGTCGGTCGGTCAGAAATTTTTATTTTTTTAAAAACTTTTTTTGTCGCCCTCTTGGGCCGATATTTTTCAGATTTGAAGGTTTTTGTTTTTGTTTTCATTTTTTCCTGCCCTCTTTTAGCTGATATTTCTCAGTTTTTAATGCTTTAATACATGTCTTTCAGCATCATCATTCCATTGATATCTATTTCTCCCCATAATTATCCATGGTTTGCACGAGTGAGAATTTTGGAATAATTTGATTTTATGCATTTATTTGCCAGTTAAACAAACAAAATAAATATTTATTTATTCATTAATAAAAAAAAAGTTTTTATTTTAGGCCTAATGGCTTTTAGCAAGTTACATGTACATAGTAATCGTACTTCTAGCTTTACTTTATATCTTTAATAGGCAGTTGTTGGAACTGTATCTATTAATATAACAGGGACTGCCTCGACAGAACCTTACGGTTTTATTTGCAGTTTCCTCAGTCCATTTCTATTGCTGATTAACTTTGTATAATTCTAGTATATTTGTAGACATGTTTCCATTTTGTGTGTGATCTCTGTTTTCTATATATAATCTGAATCTTATGTGTTTTTTATGGATTTGAATTAAAATAAAACTTGAAAACTTGAAAATACCTATGCCTCAAAGGCTCATAGGAGATATACATGTACATGTAGGTGAATTGAGAGATTAAAAAAGTGATTGTATGATACGTTTTGTAGAATACAGGACATAATGTTTTCTGATTAACAATTTGATTTCATCTTTGAATTTAAATTAGTTTAAGAACAGTTTTTTGTTCAGCATAATGGATCATACAGTGTATAAGAGATAATAACGTAAAATAAATAAATGTTGAAAACTTTTAGTAATTAATGTGATCATGTTGACCGAAAACCTAAAAACTTTCCTGTTAAAACATGTACATGTACAGTAGTTGGCTTGTAAATGTACATGTAAATTGGGCAGTATTTATGATACTGTTAAAGGACCAAATGTTTTACACCTATGTCATATTATCCTTGATCAGTACAATAATTACAATGTAAATGTTTCTTAATGTACCGGTACATGTACATGTGCTAAGGGATTATATTGATTTTACAAGGGATTTGCATGTTTGTATTTACACAGTCCCAGAAATTTCCGTCAACAATTCAAAAGGAACAAAGATTCCATTGCAAACCTAAAGACTATAGTCTTATACATTTACTGTATTCAAAAGATACAGGGAAGGGACCGGAATGCTAGACTGAGCATATATTGATCCAACTATTGCGGTTCAACAATAGCAACGGCCAATTGTGATTGCCTTGGTCTCATTCAGACTCCCTATTTTTACATGGTTCACAGACACTAAACAGGTTGTACAGTCAATGAATGGCTTTGCGGCGTGTTGCTATGCACGCTGGTGGCATATGGCTTCTAGACTATAGTTTGTCACAGCTCATCGGTACTGTCATGGCACTGTCATGGCTGTTAGAACTTTTGGAGAAATGTGAATCAAGTCAATTAATTCTCCTTTGATATTTTGTTTTAAGAACCTTCAATTTTAAAAAACAGACCTTATCTTCTAAACTACATGTACTGTACTTAACGTATTTGCATTAATATTCACAAACCTTAGTTTCCATTCACATTCAACAGAATAGTCAAGGGTTAATGTTGGATAAGCCCATTGTAGTCATTAATTGTTTTTAGAACCTTAGGGTTAAATTCACACGCCCATTATCTAAACTATTTTCCATGTAGGTCCTCGTGAAGACATTACTATTGCGAATTCTTTGAGCCTTACATATAAAAAAAATATTATTGCCAAGCAGCCTTTTCTTCCAGGAGTATATTTTATGCCTCCGCTACAAAGTAGCCGGAGGCATTATGTTTTCGAGTTGTCCGTCCGTCTGTCCGTATGTCCCGTTCTCGTGATCGCGTTATCTCAAGAACCAATAGATGGATTCCCGCCAAACTTGGGTCATGTACACTTATGTATCTTGCAGTGCCAATGAACTGATTAGATTTTTAGGCCTCGAGATCCAAGGTCAAAGGTCACAGTGCTCATTATGTATGCAAACAAAACTTGTGATCACGTTATCTCAAGAACCCATTAATGTATTCCCGCCAAACTTGGGGCATGTATGTATCTTTCAAAGCCAATGAACTGATTATATGTTGAGGTCGCGAGATCCAAGGTCAAAGGTCACAGGACTCATTACATGTATGTATGCAAAAATAGCTTGTGATCGCGTTATCTCAAGAACCAATTGATGGATTCCCGCCAAACTTGGGTCATGTATATATCTTGCAGAGCCAATGAACTAATTAGATTTTAGGATCACGAGATCCAAGGTCAAAGGTTACAGGACTCATTATGTATGCAAAAATAGCTCATGATTGCGTTATCTCAAGAACCCATTAATCAATTCCCGCCAAACTTCGGTCATGTATATATCTTGCAGAGCCAATGAACTGATTAGATTTTGGGGTCACAAGATCCAAGGTCAAAGGTCAAAGGTCACAGGACTCATTATGTATGTAAAAATAACTTGCTTCTGTTTTGGTTTGTAAAATTGCTCCATGGCGGAGGCATCATTTTCGACTGCGCGCGGTCGAGTGTCCATCTAGTTTTTAACGAAACACTGATAAAATCACTATCCAATTGGAATATTAATTGATATCTATAATGACAAACTGGGCCTACATGTGAATTCCTATACATGCACATACATACTACATATGCGATCTGTTTTTTAATGACCATATTGACAAGTCATTGTCTGTCACCTTCTTAGAATTATTGTGGGATATTGGTCTTTGAATAGGTTAGAAAACAACTTATTTCATTGGTTAGCATCTAGACCTTCATTGGAAACTGTGTGTGTAGTCTTGTGTATCTAAAAATGAATTTAAATACCTGTGATACATATACAGTACTTGGATATACAACAAAAACATATATGCAACACAGTTTTTTTTTTGAAATAAATTTTAAATTAAAGCTGATTATTCATAATGACTACCGGTAGCTAGTCTTGTATGATTTTTTTTTAAACAAAAAATTAAAAGAAAATCTGTTTCTGCCCCAAGACTATAGCCCCAATCAGAATACATTAACAACTGTAGATCATGATCATGAGCGGAGAGAGTCAATGGAATTATTGATTCTGGTTACGGGTATATTTATTTATTCTTGACCGTTATTCAGTCAACAATCAATAAAGGCTCTTATAGAGGTCAATAGCCACCAAATACACACAGATTAGATGTCTTGAGTTGAATCATATATTTTTATCATCATAATCATCATTATTGCTTTTATCATTATCATTATTATTATTATTGTTAATATCGCCACTCTCGCCACCTGTCCCCTCCAAGCTAAGAAAGATAACCAACAGTCTTTATCAGGACTACACACACCCAAGAAAGAAAGGTTATCGACAGTCCTTTTCAGGACTTCCCAATCCTCCCTCTCTCTCACATGGTGCAACCGCAAGCCTTCTGTATATCGTTATTATTAGTATATATATGTATTTTTTCATTTATTAATTTAGCTGTAGCGTATGCATAACAGATCAGTGAAACATACAAGTCTACAAATGTAGATGTGTAATTCAACCACTGGAATGCAAATGAGACGGACAAATTTAACCTAATAATTGTTGCATAAAGGCTTCTGTCCCATTTCCAGTAGTTATAAAAGCATTAAATACCTGGATTATCCTCAATTTTTACAAGAATACCCAATATATGAATTACAATGTCATCATCTTCAAAGTAAAAGATATTATTATTATTAATTACTTCATTTACTTTATTTTATGGTATGTTTCCAGGGTACAGCCTTTGCCTACATCAGCTTTGCAGGTGCATTCTCTCTCCATAACAGAGGCATATATGACATAAGGGTAGGTAGTGTACTTGAATACTTGAAACTTATTTTAGCATATTCCCATGCTTTGAAGAAATAATTGGACAAAAAAGAAGAAGAGAAAAAAAAGAAAAATGCATTGGTAAATTATCCTAATCACTTAGTGTACAGCTTAGAAACCGTGACTTTATATAGACATGTATATACTTTCAAGCCTCTACGTTGTAATATACACTTTTTTGGCATTGTGAATCAAATTATAGGACTTTAAAGAAGGAGACTTGTTTAGTGCTTGACCTGATGACTATACTTGAACCATCCAGGGAAGTGTTTCACAAAGACTTAATCAACTCAAATCTACAGAATTTGTATTCTTTGATGATTCATTATTGAAAGGAAAACATATTATTTAAAGATCATGATAGTGAGAGCAACTAGTGTCATGAATGGCCTGCCATTGTCAAGTCTAACTTTAAGTAGATCTTAGTCTTTGTGAAATACCCCCCTGCAGCTCGAGTAGGCAATGGATCAATAAAAAACTAACTAAAATACTACGGTATATCATATATATATTTGAACAAATAACATGTTTAATCTGTGTACACATATATGTGAAAGCTCAATTTTATTACAAACAAAATCATTTGTTCCATAGCCTGAATTTGAGGATGCCGCTGTAGGCCCATGCCCTCGATTCTTTGCCCACATGCACCGGGTCCCTCAACCCAAGTCAGAGCTCAAAGAGGTTCGGAAAAGAGTTACCAAGAAGCCAGAGTTCTGGACGTGGAAAGGACGGACCCCAATCTCTGTTCCTAAACCAAGACCCAAGAGAAAAGGTAAGAGGAGTTTTAAACTTCTGTATCATGTGTTTGGAGCCAGAAGGTCATTAGCTCATACATGTATAATATCATTACATTCTTAATGATGTTTCTAAGCCAACATAGCTGCAAGTTATCACAATTTGGGGTCTGCAAACCCTTGCAAGATCATCAAAAACAACAATTACTACTGCCATGAAGAGACTAAAGAATTCAAAGAATAGAAATATCTTGCATTTCAGTTTTCCAAGTCTTGTGAAGAAATATAAAGCAAGTTTCAAAGTCCTTTCCACTTATCGCTTACCAAAAAACAACAACATTAAAGAAATTGCATAAAATGAGAAATGAAAAACCTTGATACATGAGTATTACATGTCGTTAATTCTGTAAAGTGGTTTTGCAACACAAATTAGTGTATACACAGTGTGCAGTGCTGTATTGTCAACATCCACTTTGCATTCTCAAATGATGTGCCTTGATTTCATGTACAACTTACTTGCACCTATCCTGATTTATCTGTATTGTACAGGTATTTTCCTATTTCTATATCTCTCGATTAGAATTTTAAAATAAAGACAAAGAAAAAAAAACATGGAACCCAGAGCAAAAATATTTGTTGACTTTAACTTCTTGCTTTGATGAACCATCGTACACTGTATGTGGTCTTAATAGATGCAGTAAAGGGTTTCAACTTATTTTCTTACTTCTTTTCTACTGCAAACATATTTCAATTCTAAAGATACATGCAAATCCACACAAATGTGTAGTACAAAATAATCTTCACCAACCTCTCTACTTTCAATAAAAAATTATTGTTTTATATATTTTTAAAGCAAAATTTACAGTTTCTACATTATGCATCTCATTTCTCATCATGCATCTCTAGCTAATTTAATGGTAGGTATTTTGATTAAGATTCCCCAAATATTCAAACGAGAAAGACTTTGAGCGATGCTTTCTACCAGCTGCTGCCAAAGGGAATACATGTAGGTCTATATTGATTATATTGGATTGATTTGTCAAATTTCAATAGTTCGTTTTCAAATTAGAACTGTGATTTGCACTTTTCATGCAAAACATATTGAAAATAAAACCATCTTATATAATGTCAAAAATCATGTAAAATACTCTTCCATTTGACATATTTGCTCTATTACATTCTTGTATTACTTTAAATTTACACTATTATACTTTCTTTACTACTATCTCTAAATTTACACTTTTGCACCCTCTATATTCTATTGACTGTGTGCATGCTGTGTGTTAACACTTTATTCTCCACCCTCTATCTCAACCCCCACCCCACCCTAGTGACCCCTCCTCACCTTTCTCCTCTACCCCCTCCTAACACCCAACCTACCCCACCCTCCGATCAAACAGTGACCCCTACCCTGTCAGAGAATATGTCATCCGTTGACCTTTCATCTCAAGAAACGGACAGTGATGAGCTGCTCCCAATCCCTCCAGGTAATGTATCTTTCACTCCTTCTTTTTTTCCTGGGGATGGTTGCTTGATTTTATGAAGTTTTTTGATTTTGAAGGATTATGAATTCCTTGACTAGTTAGTTGACTGGTAAGGAAATAAGTGTAGTTGTGTAATCCCTTAATCTAATGATTACTTAATCCAACTTGAAGGAGGTTAAAATAATTCATTTTTTTGATAGGGAAACTTTCTTTCTCTTGCAAAACATTGATAAACATTCTAGTTACAAGTATCCATTTGCATTGCAATTGGCTCTCTTTTAACTAGTTTGGACGAATTGCCCTCATTTTCCTTTTTTTTTTTACAGATCCAAATCTTTGTCTTTTCTCTCTTTGCATTTTAAACTCTTGTCTTCAATTTGCAAGATGTTCCATCACCAACTTCTCTTGCATGCCTTAACGATAACTACATATATTGCATGTCAATTTCTCTATCCTTTTAATATATGTACACCCATATTTCTCAAAACAAATAAATAAAAAGGAAATAAAATGTTTTTTAAAAAAAAAACAGCATGAATGGCATCAGAACATAAGTTTCCAAACAATGTTCTTTCAAACAAACATGATAACAAGACAAAGCAGAAACAAAGCAAAATCAATCTTCTCTTATTGAAAGTTGAAAGATTTCTGTGGACGTCAAGTGTAAGTATGAAATTAATGTGGTCATAATACAAACTCTCCTATATGTCGGTTGTTTTATTAATGCACTTTTCTTCTATGTTTTTCACCTAATGGTTAGCCCCAGCACAATGTTACATTGTAGTCTGGAATTTGACCGATGTAATGTGAAAAATATCTTCACCACCTTGATCTCCATCAACATGTACAGTTGTACTTGCTGCTAGCTGAAGATGAAGTAATCCCCAAGTTAGTACGCCCAACAAAAAATCAGTCTGGGCATACAAATTTGTATGGCATACCATATAATCTTTGGCATGCAGCAGTTATTTGATAGAGATCTTGTAATGTTTCTTTAATGGCAGGATTTGCCTTTGGGACTACACTTAGTTGCAGTGTTGCGCACATTACATGTACACATACATGTTTCCTGATACTTACATTCTAGATCTATCTATTATTCCAGAGCAGTACAGTGTTACCTTCTGGTGATTTTTTGCATTATCCGTCGATCCAGAATGCTAGGAGCTACACATTACACATGAGCAGAAAGAACAAACATCACAGGCAATTTTGAGTCAATTTTAAATGCAGTATGTTGTGCTTTTCCTGAATTAGAGAAATTTGATTGTGACAAATCATTAAAGTCTCTACATTTGCAAAGCAATGTAAAAATATAAAATCACTTTCTTTGTGTACAAATTGGCAATTTTTTGGCTAAATTATGCAATTTTCTTTTGCATTGGTTCATCCTATAAATATTTATAAATGTTTACAAATGATGAAGGAGTGCAAAATAAGATTAATTTGAGGAGGAAAAGCTGATCAATTAGGAAATAAGGTAACTTTGAAGTGCTATGGGATAATACAAGTTTAATTATGTCTGATGATTTTCAATTGGAACAGCACATTGAAAATTGATGGACTTTCTGAATATCTAATAATATTTTTCTCATTTTTGCTATTACTTCAAAGGTATGGAAAAAAATGTTAAAAGCTTGTCCATTGTACACATTGTCTATCATTGGACAGTTTGTGATCTTCTTAAACTCTCAGTATGTCCTGTTGCCTTAATTAGTTGCATTTTCTTTATTTTACTTTAATTTCATTTATGCAAACTAAAGTTAAATTTGAGGAGAGGATAAAGGGTAAGTCCTTCTGAGTTTGAGTTTTATTTGCATTTTTGTGTGCACAACTTTTTTTCTTCTTTGTTTTTCCATAAAAGAGGGTGAGAGTTTTTCTTCAAGTTGTGTATATATTGAATTGAGATTGTTTGTAAAAGTTGTTCTTCCACATTATTGTTGAACTAACCCTATTTTCCATAAATGAATCATCCCTCGCCCAAGCTTGACAAAACAAGGCTTTGTGTTACAGATGTGTAATTTTAGATAATGACTATATTGAAAAGGATTTTAACTTTGTACACAAAATGTGTGAATTAACAAAAAGAAATGTTGCCTGAAATAAAAACATTAATTAACATATTTGTTTTAATTATAGATAAAAATTACCTGTAAACATGGGTCTTAATCAGAATTACATACTGTACCTTTATACATATATCCATGTACATTGAAACAGGACTTTTATTGTCCAATACAAGTTATGTTTTGTATGTGTAACCACCAGTCAAGCTACATGTAATAACAGCTTTTTAAATGATACCGGTAATTGTTCTCCTTAATTTTACGAAACATTTGAAGTCTAGACTTTGTTATGGTATACTGCATACCGGTAGGTGTGTGTTGTTTGTTTGTGGGGTTAATTTATCATTATTATTATTATATTACTTGTAAGTTGTTTGATTTTTTTGTTTTTTGTTGACATTAATGAGTTTTAAATACATTTGAATAATGTACAAATGTGCAGTTAAAAAAATTTGTTAGTAAGAGAAAATGTCCATGTAGATAATGAGACTTATTGGAAACATTTTGAGAAGTCTTTCTACTCTATTGATAAGCTGAGAACAACGAGCACACACCAATTTCATGTGAACAGCTGCAATAGCATCTATCAATTGGATTAATTTGTTGAAAAATCTGACTTCACAAAAGTAATGCATGTACATGGGGCAAGTCCAAGCTATTTAGTCCTGTTAGTAGCTTTTCTAGAGAATGAAGTGGACAAATTAAGCAAAATTATTATGTTGACTTACTTTTTGTTAATAGCTGCACCATGCGTGGTAACATTAAATACACTCTCCACTCAGGCTTTAAATAGGGACTTTTAGATTTGCATGTCGACATAGTGGACTGCTACGTGTTACGTCCTTTTAAGGCACTGTGACTCTTTTTTAGGCATTGCCATTGCCTTAAAAGGATGTCACACATAGCAGTTCACTAGATGTCAATGTGCAAATCTAAAAGTCCCTAATGTTTATCAGTAGGAAGAAATTCAATGAATAATGTGAACACTGAAACCAATAGCCTAGCTTTAGCTGGGATGATAGTGAAACACATTGAACACTTCATATGGTGCATATGAGCACTATAGAAATGTGCATTATTTAATTATTTTGATAAATGTATAGAACAGTAAATAGCAAAATATCTTGAGACGTGCCCGTATGTACATTAAGCTTGCTGTCCCACTTTAACATGATCATCCTGACACATCATAATCGTAGCACTATTTTTTAATGTTATTAACGACCTTTCACCTTCACACGCACGCATCATTTGATTGACACAGCTCCTAGCATCGATGAGTTTGATAGCAGCGACTATGGTTCTCTTTCCTCGGGTAAGACAATGTTGAAGGGTTTTTTGTGATTTATTACGTCCAATAAGTTGACTGCTTGTAGTGATATAGGAAAACTATTGCCTCAATGTGACATCAAGCCAGGCTACAATTCAACTTCGATCCCCCCCTAGAAAAAAACGGTCACTATTTAAGGGAAGGAAATAAAAGAAACAAATGTTGTGTAGCGTATTGTAATTCAGATATTAAACGTAATATAAAAATATATTTCTCCTAATCACTTGAATGTGATTTTACAGCATATCTGTTTCCATAGAGAGCATGCCTTTTTTCCTGGCAGACTCTTTCAGTTTATTGGTTCATGTAATAGAATCCAACTGTGCAACTAGTTGTTCATGAGAGAATGAGTTAATATCACTGCACAATGAACCGTATAAATCACACCGACAAGTTTTTAATAGTTTGTATGTCTCGGCATGAATTACACATTTGCACAATCAAAGTGTTCATATCACACACAAAAGTAAAAATATCTTGTTTATAATCGTTTAAAACACTGTTATGATGCATATTATGTTTTAGTCACAGTGTTTTAATCTAAGTGATTCACTCAAGCACACACAAATGCGTCAATTAGTTAAATTAGTTAATTAATATGCATATATTCTTGATGTGATGTTTGATTTTTGCCACCCACATCATGCACACAATTTCCTTATATAAAGGAACAAGCACTCAAGTGAGAACGGAGTCTCACTCGCATCATTCTGCAAAATCAGCAGTTTCGAGTGGTAAGATAAGATACACTCAATTTCACACCACTTTCGAAGCTTCCGCAAAGCACATACTTATAAACCACCAGCTTTAATAGCTTTAGCACATCACCACTCGACTACCATGTGCACGTACAATCAACAATGCTACTGCTTCTTATTTTTATAAGGCCTAAAAAAGAAAGACGTTGTATTGGCCTTTGCGACCGACCCCAAAATTGTATAATCTATGGTTGGCTTTAAAAAAAAAAAAAATTGTTTACCATTTTTTTAGAAATAAAATGTTAAAGCATTCAAAACTGAGAAATATCAGCCTGAAGAGGGAGAAAAAAAATAAAGAAAAAGATTTCTGACTGACCGACCTATGTTTTGGCGCCTAAAGGGCAATACATCATCTTTTTTTGTAGGCCTTATTATGATCTCCCATCTCAAAGTAATTTATTTTTTGTTATATTATTTATCATGATATTTTCATATCTATTATTATTTATACCCCCGTACTTGTGAGACTTGAATCCATTTGGTCTAGTAAATTTGATGACTTGTTTCTCATCCCAAACTTTTAGAAATGAGGAGGAGGGGGCTCCATTTTGTTTGATATGATTGATATTTCCGGTACATCTAAATACCATTGGGTCAATGTCAACAAAAATTGTTGATTCAATTTCAAGCATTAGCACTACATTAACGATTCAAACCCTATTTCTACTTTATTTGCACGGTGCACCATTATGTAATGCTATAGCCTCATACATGTAGCTGCCTTGTTTTTACTGTGCTTCGAAGATATACATATCTTGAAATATATATTTGCCATTCCTGCATAGACAACGTCAGTATATAATCATTGATTTAGTTTATTCTATAGTTCTGTTGTAAAATTATAAATTGCTCTTTCATATGTACCTTGAGCAATACAGTATAGCTCTTTTAATCAACAAATGGGGAAATATACCCCCCCCCCCAAAAAAAAAAAAGAAGAAAAGAAATTAGTACACTTGAGGTATCTTGTGTGTAAACCTGTACCGGTAGTCACAATGAATACAGAACAAAGAAAAAAATGTGAAGTTTTCAAGTTGCAAATCACGATTAATTTATACAATGGAACCTTGATATAGAGAACAGTGACAATTATAGTTAATCTTGACGGATTCCCATTTTGTTGTAATATATCTTTTATTATCAGGTTTTAGCCCTGATATAACAGGGTTTCAAAGAAGGTAAATTCCCTGATGCAATTAGTTGGTAATACCAAGGTTCCTTTGTGTAAATATCCATGTAAAACATTACACTAATTGGCACCCCCATTCACTAACTCACGCTGTGATGACACTTTTTACAAAAAAGATCAAAAAATATTTTGAAATCTGGCATTGAAATGGTAAATATTGGCCTATGTGCACCGTGCTAGCAGAATTGAGCAATTTTCTTCTTAAAGCCAAATGAATAATTGTATGTGAATTGTGAATGAAAAATTAAGTGAAAAATTTATTCAGCAACTTCTAATATGAAGAAATTAATTTGTAAGAGGAATTTGAGCATGCAGTTTATATCCAAAGCAACTATTATTAGTATACTGTGCAGGCATGGAACTTTTTTGTTTCGTGACCTGGTCCCTTTAAACATTTTAGCTCACTTGGCATTTATTTCCCCTGATATGTGATATATTAACATGTTAACAACATCTAATTCCACACTAATTGCCACCCATCTACCAGCACATGCACCTGTATGCATGATGTCACCGCCGTCCTCCAATAGCAATGGAGATGTACAGATCCTTGAGCACACAGTAGAGCTGACCACAGTGTCACCAGAGCCCACAGTCAACTGCTCATGTTCTGCAGAATCATGTACATGTAAAATACATGGTAAGACATGTCTGTGGTGAAGATTGCTACACTTGCTACAGTTGTGTGTTTCATCTAGCACTGGTGTGTGTAATATTTACCACAGTTGTGTGTAATATTTACCACAGTTGTGTGTAATATTTACCACAGTTGTGTGTAACATTCCCTATTTCTACACTTGCCACAGTTGTGGGTTTCATCTAGCACGGGTGTGTGTAATATTTACCACAGTTGTGTGTAACATTCCCTATCAGTGATTGTGAGTTCAATTCATGACATTTGTGTTTTCTGCACCTGTTGTAGTACTATGACCTGCACTCCATGTTAACCTACCCTGATGTACACTAACCACAGCTGTGTATTCCACACATTTCAAGAGTGTATGAACTGCAGTTTAGGAATCTGTGTTTGATGAGTTCTAAAATCCATTCTTTTATTTGCAACAACTAATACTACATCATTGAGGTGACATGACCACAGCTGTGAGCTGGGGTCACAATATATCATTTTTTTTGTCGGGATGCTGTGATAATCTTGAGCTGGTCACACTTCCATAATTACCACAGTATTGTGTGAACCCAACAGTATTGGTTCTGCGGATGATATTTTGTTGCCTGTAAATTTATTGATGACAGTACATCACAGACATTGGGTGATCTCCTCTTTTTTTGTGAAATGTGGTACAAAATGTATTTTTTCAACTCCCCCTCCCCTTAGCACAGTCTCAATACAACAGTTCCTTTTGTGGAGTTGATTTGTAAGAAATGGGTCTTTAGATGTCTATCTTGCACAATAATGTATCATAATGATTAATGTGGAATGACAAGTGACATATGTTTGGATTTTTGCAGTCAGGGTTGGTACATGGGTTTTAAGTGTAATTGTTTCTGGAACTTGTAAGATCATAGGATTTTCTTCAGTGTTGTTGCCATCACTCTACTTGAAAGAAATATCAAGAATCACAAAACTTTATTCACCTTACATTCATTTGTTTATATATCATAAAAATGTTGTTCAAAGAAGTCAATGTTTTAACCTGATTAAATTGTATTAAGGCATTCACTTTTAGTGAAGTATAGATACACTGCTACACATTGAGTCCTTAGGGTGTTGGTTTTTGTCTGGAGATGTTTTATAGAAATGTTTGCTTAGAAGCTTCAGGGGAGTGTTGGTGCCTATTCTTAGCACTCTTTTGCGAAGTCTTTTGATTTATAATCTCTTTTCTGGAAGACATCCTATTTTTCAATTACTTCCCTTCTGATTTTAGTTAAAGTCAAGGAAAAGCAAGGTTTCATTATTTTTCTTTTGAGTGTTCTGGTGAAGTGTAGTCTTGTCCACATACTTCTGTAGGATTTTGTTTTCAACAATCCTATATGTATCTAGTGTGAAATGTTTTGTGGTAAAGCAAGTGTGATTGGAACAAGGGCTTTTTTAAAGAGATTTTTGGTCAATGTTGTGAATTTGATATTTTACAGGTATTAAAGGACAGTAGAAGAAATAAAGTAAGTGATTATAAACCCTTCCATACCAAGGTAATTTTACCTAGTAATGTAACCATTTTTATATCGATAGACAGTCGACAAGCATGAAAGAATACAAATTAATTCCCTTAAATTCTGGGATATTAAGAGAAGTTAACCTCAGAAAAAATACTTTCATAACAGTTTTTAGTTGAAGTATGTGTAGACTTAACCTGTGTGCTACGTTCCTGTTGGCAGAAATGGTGCTTTGACATTTGCTCTAGTAACAGTTGCTCCAGTTTTTAATTTTTTTAATATTATAGATTGAGGGTTGCAATGGGATTTTAGGTTAGGTTGAAGTGTAGGGTTATGGTTAGGTATACTATAAGGCCCTGGGTTCAAGTTAGACACTAGGTTAGTGTATGAAATCAACAATTATCGGGCTTCACAAGCAAGTGCCATACAACAAGCAGCAACATCACGATGCTTCTAACCATGTAACAGTCGAAGTGAACCTAAGAAAATATCACTTTAATGGAAAATAGAGATTTATGTGTAGCATGGCCACAGATTACACACATAGTGTAAACTGCATGTAATCATTGTAAGGACAGATGATGCCTTCGAGAAAAGCTTAATATTTATATAAAATAGAGTCCTACAACAAAAAGTAACATTTCAAAAGCACTTGGTGCCCGGGATGCAGACTCTCTTTAGATGTACCTCATTCAGTTATCGAAAACTGAGATACTGAATCTTGTGAATCGTTGAACATAGGTACTATTAAAGCACAGACAGCTTAGCATTTGAGTGATTGTGCAAATAGTCCTTTGTGGGGCTTCTATTCATCCCCAGATACTCATCCGCTCTTTGTGGTTGCTCAAACACATTGGTGAATGTTTGTTGAGCAAACAGACTTGAAAAGCTTCTTGACAACTACCTGTTGGTAGTTACCTTTGGGGTGTTCCTTTGACGTATGGTGTTATTATAATGTACTACTAAATATGACTTTATAATTCTACGCAAGCTACTAGCTGCTGGTAATGTTTAATCTCCTTTTTCAAAAATAGCAAATCCAGAAAGGCTTGCCATGAAAAAAAACAACATTTTTTCTCTCTTGTATGGAATTTGATAGAATGTTCTCTTGATCTTTCCAAGTCATGAATTCACTATAATTCACTGTGGTTGGTATAGTATAGTTTAATTCCCTTGAGGTTCTTTTCTTGAAGGGTGGTATATCAAATAATGTTCTAACGTACATGATTAATGAAAATGTATGCTTTATTGGTAACTGTTAATAAAACATTCTAGTTTCCAACAGGGTTCCTTTGTTAGAAATGCGTCAAGGTTCCAAAGATACTTTAACAGATGAAAATGACTGATATATAATAATAATAATAATAATAGCTAGTTCTTATATAGCGCTTTTCAGGACTGAAGGCCCTCTCAAAGCACTTTACAGATATATATAGTGCTCATGCTTACGACTTCTGATGTTACATTACAGTATTACCTATGATCAATACAAACTTTACAGTCTTAACAAAAAACTTTATGTACTACAATAGTTAACTGGTAGCCATGCACTGCATATCAAACTAAGAGTTCATCCCTATATTCATTTGTAGTACATCTATGCAACTCATGCTGTTTGATTACATTAGTGTGTTTTATTGTAAATTCAAATGCAGTTTGATATCATATCATATTTACCTGTATAGCAAACAACATGTTTGATCGTTTATAAATGGTAATGCTTGTATGATGATACTTTTTAGTATCGGTATATCATGTTGCGAATTGTGATGCATATGTATTGTTGTTCATCGTCAAATATTTTTTACACCCTGCTTTGTTCAAAGATATTTTGCTTCCATATTGCATCCATTTTCCATCATCATAGCATGTACAAGCTTGTACTTTTCATAATTATTTGGATTTTGTAAAATTTATGAGTTTAAATATAACTTGTATATTTATCAATCTGTAACAAGCCACGATGGAAACTTGAAAAACAGTTCTGATTTACTTGTATAGAAAACTTACCATACTTTTGTGGTTAGATTTTGGTTGCTATATCTAAAAGTTATCCCACTTTCTAGATGTTGCTATTACATACTAACAAATCTGAAACTTTTGTGTGCATGAAATGTTATGAGTGGTTTAGATTCATGAAAATTCATGCCATGAAATAATTGGTTACTTTTTAACCTTATTGCTAAGAAACCATGCATGCTTGTATAAAGTAAATAACCAGGGGACCTACACTTTTAAGTCCTCTCTGAGGGAGGGAGGGACCTGGTAATGAGGATTAATGCCTTACCAAAAGGCACTAGCGCATTGAATTGGTTTCGAGCCTGGGACCTCCCGTTTACAAGACCACTGCTCTACCACTGAGCCATCGTGCGCCTCACTCAATTGAATCCCAATTGGCACAACACTAGCTTCCTGGCAGGGCAGGGGTAAACTACTTGCGACAGTATGTGGTATGATTTGGGATAGAAAGGAGGGAAGTGAATATGACGACTAATACAAAATGAGAGCATTCATACCGATTGTGTATAGAAGATTTATTTCTCATGCTTAGTCACCATTCAGCTGAGCCTCTATGCAATACCAGGGGGGTGTTTCACAAAGATCCAAAGTTGAACTTATCTCCAAGTTGGACTAAGCAATTATGAAAAGCCTTTAGCATCTTTGAAAATATTTTGTAAAAGTTATTTAAAAGGCATAAAATGTTGATTCAAACCATTCATGTTTTCTATTACCATGGGAGATTTCATATCTTGATGTGGAATTTATGAAAAGTCTAAAATACTTGAATTTCCTCTTTTTGATATATTTTATTTTAAGGCTACAAATGGCTCTCCATAATGTTTAAGTGCAACTTAGAATTAAGTTTGACTTAGTATCTTCGTGAAACACCGCCCTGGAATGTCTTCGTTTATTTTGTAGATTTTTTATTGACTGCATAGTACTTTCTGAAGTTATTACCAATCTTTTGGTTTTTCAGCTTCCAATGTCTTCAAAGATAGGAAATTCAAGTCTCATTTCTGATTGTTCCCCCAGTCAAAACTCCCTTGGATCTCCTACGGCTCTCCAGCCTGCCTCACACCCCTACCACAGTCGCCTGGGATGAAGTCTTCAGTATGGCCAGTGGAGATGGCCAATTTGAGGAAGATGATGAGGGTAATATCATTATTCCTGATGCCGTTGATGCTGCCAATCTTCTCCCGCTTCACTTCATGGTGGATTATATAGAAGTGCTCCAACCTGAAGTATATGGTAAGTCCTGCTTTAAAGCACCACTGCACTACTTATAGCTACTTGCGCCCTCTATGTAGCAAACAATTCCTAAGCGGTGATCATTGGTCCCCAATGATCCCCTTTTTCTTATGTTATTGAGAACTGATTTGATGAGATAACCACCTGTCAATGACCATGCAGGGAGGTCTAATCCCTCCTGGCCAAACAAGTGCAGAGGAGCTTTAATGCAAGAAGGATAGTAGGTCTTTCTTCCTTTGGCTGTAAAAGGAAATTAACAAAGGTGATTAAGATGTACATGTGAGAATGTAGACCGTGGTTTAAGTTACCAGTGTACAATTTGCAGCCATAGCAAGCAGGGTAATTATAAAACTGACAAAAACAGTAAAACAAAGCAGAATAAATAATCATATCTTTTTTTCTCTATTTTTCAAACAAAAGAAGACTTACTGAGCTAAAAATAGAAAACAAAAGTAACCAGATAGTGAAAATATAATAGTAATACTCCTGCTACTACTTCTAATGATAATGATAATGATAATGAGGAGAATGATGATAATGATAGGAATGATAACAATATTGTGAATATTAACAATATTAATAATTAAAAATACTACAAATAATAACAATACTGTTTTTTTTATAGTGCATACTACTGCAATAGCATCTCTATTAGATCACAAAGCTCAACTTGAATGTTTTTTTTCTTGCCACCTGTAGGTGAAGCTTTATCGACCAGTGCAGGTGAACTTGCCAATGTTGGGATTATCAGCAGTCTCAAGGTCAAAGTTGATCGTCCACTGAAGATTGAGAGACCCTGGATACCCAAGGTTCAAGGCCTTGATCGGATCAAGATTCAGAGCCCTCCTCCCGCTCCCATTCCTACCCCCAAAGTACCTACCCCACCCCCTCCTAAAGGTAAGTTAGGTCACCTTTAAAGGTACTATGTCCCATTTGCAGGCCAAAAATGAAAAGGGTAAATTCCAACAGCATTTGAAAGATAATACTAATTTAGAACTTCCCTTAAAAAAAGGGGGCTTAAAAATGTCTTTAAGTGGGAAAATAACGAATATTAGTTGTCAAATCAACTTAAGAGCTATAGAGCCAGTAAGTAATACCAGTAGTTGATTTTTCAGACTATTGTACCGAATGGTCCTACATTTTATGCTGCACAAAGATTCAATCAGTTTAATTTTGGCCATTACGAGAAGTGGGTCATCGATGTAGACAAATGCTCATGGACCCTGTACAGCTAATTTTATGTATGTTATTACCAAAGAAGAGAAAAGGCCAGTCAGTCACTCACTAGTGTCTGACAGTGAAGTCTAGCAAGTAAACAGGTTTCCTTGCATAACTTGAAAATCAGGACACTGCTAACGTTTAAATTTCACAGTTAGGACATACATGACATATTCATAATTCCTGCAAAGTTCTACAGAATTTGATGTTGGCTGCAAAAGGGACATAGTATCTTTAAAAGAAAATTCAACCCTAATAGCAAACTACTCCTAGCCCTGTTAAAGGTAAATCCAATGTAATATACAGCTGCGAAGCAAAAATATTAGAGAAGCAGACTGGTAAAAGTTTGAAGGACAAAAGGACAAGAAATTAGAAAGCTAAACATTTTAAAAACTTGTAATCACGATTTATATTATATGTATGAGAACTTCAAATAAATGTTATCAGTAACGTCACTGTGATGTAGCTCTGAAATGACTTGACTGTAAAGTTTTCAAAACGTATGACTCGGAAGGGTCTTTTTTTTAAGGACCTCTCTAATTTATTTTGAGTAGTGGCCTAAGGGAGAATATATTTGAGAGAAAAACAGAAATTAGGGATATTTTTGTTATCAACTAACGAAATTGCTTTAATCCACTGGCCAGTAAGATATTTGAGATTCGCCTAGATTCAGTGATTTCAAATTTTCAGAACTCTATTTATGGTTAGTCCTTTTGGTTTTGCTATAAATAAACATATAATAAAGGTACATGTAATGAAAGAAATGTGATTGTGTCTTTTACTTGAGAATCAAGAGAAGCAGATTTATTTATTACCGGTAAGTTTGTTCTCCATTGGTACATGTAAGAGGCAAATCTAATTTGCATGTACATACATTAGGGGATTGCATGTAAAAGATATTTCATAAAATTGTACAACTCTTCTTTTCTTTCAAACATTTTTTTTTTTGGTGGCATTTTATTGTTTCATACCTTCAATGAATTTTGTTTTATCCTTGTTTTTACAGAACCAACACCACCACCACCAACACCGACTCCTCCACCAAAGTCACCTACCCCACCCCCAAAGGAGCCTACACCTCCCCCTCCCAAGCCTAAACCCAAGCGTAAGGCAATCGTCAAGAAGACCAAAGCAGTCCCACCACCCCCTCCACCAAAGACCCCCACCCCTCAACCTCCCACCCCCAAGCCACCAACCCCCAAAATACCAACTCCTCAGCCACCCACCCCTACCCCAACACCCCCTAAAGACCCCACCCCTCCCCCTCCTTCACCGCCACCGAAAGTCACACTTGGTAAGTTCATGTGTACATGTTTTGTTCTTTTTAAAATTCAAATCTATATTGAAAATTGTCATGATGGCTTTTCATATTACCAATACTTTTGTTTATCTGATATTTTTTTCAGTTCATTTATTTTTAGCAAGCTCCAAATTATTGTTGAAATGAAAAATAAAGTTCAATTAAATTACACTTTCCATTAATTGCTCAAAACTAAAAGTCTACATGATTGAAAAAAATATATATACACAGGGTTATATTGCCCCTAGAAGTAAAGTAATACCCCCTCCTTTCCTGCAGTGAGTATCATATTTGACATGTTGAAGATGGATAAATATTTCTAATGTTTCTTGATGCTTCAATTTATTTGGTTGCCCTAAGGGTAATTGAAAAGCTGGCATATCATGGCTATTTGAAATTCATTTCTTTGCATGCCAATGTACCATCCAAGCCTCATAAATGTGATTGACATGTACTCATGTACAACAATTTGCTTCAACTTAATCATGCAAAACAACAAAAATATATCATTGATTACCCACCATTATTAGAACATTGATGTTAACCTTTAATGATTTTTTTTAATTATGCATATGCAATGTCCATGCAGTAGCTTTTGACTTTCCATTACCAAAAGGTAAAAAACAAAACTGTTTAAAAAATCTAATTCTTTTGGGCCTGTGTGAATAATGGAATAAAAGAGATGTACACAAGTTTTTTAATTCAGGGGATGGTGATGGTGAATTTAAAAGGAGGTGAAAGGGGGAATCCCATGTTTAAGGGTTTATTTGAAACTTTGTAAGCACACATTGAAAACAGGTACTACAACATGCACGGTACACTACAGCACTAATTTCACAACAATCTGCAAAAGAAATTTGTATATGATTACATGTATTGCTAAGAAAGCATCAATATCTGCTGCCAGACCTGAGCAACTGTTTAGACATTTCATCTTTATTTTCTGTCCCACCACAAAATCTACTTGCCCTTTCCATCTAAGCATAGTCTATTCTAGAGTTGGGGAACATCTTTAACTTTAATTATACCTGACACTTTTAATCATGAATGACTTCTTTCTTGCATGCTCTATCTATTTCCAATCTATCTCCATCATGTTTTAGATCTTTCTTCATTTCTAAGCATGCTCTCTCCACCTGTAGAAGGTGCACCATGTAAGAAAGAATCTTTAAAGAGAACTTTGGTGGCTGGCTATGAATTGTAAAATCTAAAATTAATTCTCAAGGAATCTCTTGTCTATATTGATACTATTATTTGTTGTTGGTCAGCTAGTGACCAACTTATCATATCCATCTGTTCCTTATTTCATACGAATTTCAGCATCTTCAATATTTAATCACATTTCTTGATCTACTAAAGATTATACAATTTATTACTACCTACATGTTTATCTTCCTTCTTTTTTTTCATTTGTCTTTTTTTAACTGGAGGGAAACTATATGGTTTCAAGTTATCTTGTGTCAAATAATTTCATTTTCATTGTCACCATCTTGTAATAACTTGAGGATGGGATATCACTTTTCTTTCATTTTTCCATGCCATATGTCATTTTTCTTTTCTCTCATCATCCACGCCTTTCACTTCTTTCATCGGTATCAGAGCTTCCTTCATTACCGCCAGTGATCTACCGAGATCCAACGCCTCTTCCTCCGCCACTCCCGACTCTAGTCCCAAAATGTAAATAAATATGTGAATGACAGACCGTGATATTAACTGCACACTTTTTACCAAATTATTTGCTTGCTGTTGCTTTTTATATGCACTTGAAAGCCTGCTGTGGATAGTTGAAATATATATTATGTCTTTGGAGCCAGAAGGGTATTAAATCTGAATAGAAACAATATGAGTTAACGCCCTTTGGCTCTAAAACAGAAGATACATTTATGCAAGATTGTGTAGCACAAGTTACCACAGCATTAAAAGGTGTTTCTCTCGCAATTCTACGTAGCCCACTTACTGTAAACTTTTTGGTGCAAGGTACAGTACATATGCACAACTCGAGAGCGATCCAAATTCATGCACATCTTCTGGTAGATATATACATGAATATCTACCAATGCTTTGCCAAAGATGTGTTTCCTTTTTGCTGTTATTGATGCTACTTATTGAAAACTGTTATTGAAAGCAGATAATTAGCATATTACAGTAAATATATGAACTTTTTGACGGACTTTTTCTAATGCACCATTGAACAAATTATGTACATGTAGTTTGTGATTGATTGCTAAACTATATATTTGTTTGTTTGCTTGCATAATTGATTGTTGGTCTATTTTACTAATAGGCTAATTGGAAAGTGAGTGAAATCATGTCATTTGACCTGTAAAATGATTAATATGTTTGCTTGATTAACCAAATATCTCTAAAGGGCAGTACTTTTTAAAAAATTAAAGACATACCTAACTTTTCATTTCAAACAAACAAAACTTGGTATTTAAGAGTAAAGTTACATTTTCATAGAATACCAGAATTAGAAGTATAAATAAACTTAAAACAAAGTGCAACACAAATTATTTGTAAATAACATTCCTTCACCTCAATGTCTTGAACATATCTAATGGCTTTGATCATAAGATTTCATCAATGATATCAGTTCCCCATGATATACCAAAAACAACTTTGAAAGGAGCTCAAAAAGTGCTTGAATGTAATTATGTAAAAGTATTAGCACTGTGATTATTTGTAAAGAAATTATCTACACTATATGTTTAGTAATTTGCTAACTGTATTTACTCTGTTACTAATAATTATCTATCCGATACTAATTTCTGCAATGTGTAGCTGGCATGTACAATACACAGCTCTCGTTTGTTGTTTGCTTTATCTTACATTTACCAGTGAATACTATCTTCAAATATATTACTTGAATTGTTTTTATCAAACCTTGGTATAAAGAGAATGTGCGCCACAATACTATGAAGCAGTTATATACATGCATGTACCTTTGTAGGACATCTTTCCAGTAGAAAGCTTGTTTTGTAGTGTATTTGGTCAACCCATTGTCTACCTGAACTGGATAGTTTCTGTATAAATTTTTTAGGTTCTACCCACAACAAATAAGATGTCATTAAGGATACGTGGTGAGTATTTACAACAGTTGCACAAGAGCATCTCGATTAGGCATTATGTTGGCTAAAATTTCACTCAGATACGTCAAAAAGGTATTCTTGATTAACAAACATCATTAACTACTATGCATTTTGCATTCCGGACGCGTCTTTTCATGCTTCACTACTACATTTCGCTATTAAAGCTACCTAAAATCATTTAATTTCAGAATAATGAATGTGTTATCTTCTCCCTGTTATCCCTATAGCTCCTACTCCAGAGCCAACTCCAGAACCACCACCAGCTATCCCTACGCCTGTCCCGCCCACTCCCACCCCTGTACCCCCTACGCCCTCACCGGAGGCCACAAGGAAGTCCCTTCCACCAGCTGAGAGGGATCCGTCATTCCTTGCTGAGATGGAGAGACAGCGTCTGGCAGAGGTGCGCAGGATGAAGGCTATGGCAGCCTTCGACAGCTTGAAGAATAAGAAGTTTGTGATTAAGAAAAAGCCCATCCCGGAGGAGCTGACTTTCAGAGAATGTAAGTCTACATGTCCCTCGAAATTTCTCCCGGTCTGTGTTCTTTTTTCTCTTTAGATGTTAAAGCCCCACTGTACTACTTGTAGCTACTTGCTCCCTCTATATAGAAAGAATGCCTAATCGATGCATGTTGTTCCCTCATGATCCTCTTTTTCTTATCTTAATTGAGATCTGAGTTGATGAGATAGCCACCTGTCAGTGACCTTGCTGGGTGGTCTTATCCCTCCTGTCCACACTAGTACAGGCAGTCTTTAAATCTTTGTCTTTGTTCTTCCACCTTGCATTGTTTTTCCTACTTCCAATTTATTTTTCATACCATTTCTCATATTTGTTTGCTTTCCACTACCTACTCTTAAATTTTTCATGATGTCGTTGCTCTCTCAAAGGAGCAGTTCTTCAGTCTTGTCGTTTCTTATATGTTGGTGTATATCTGGCTATTTGTCCTCTTCTTTCTCATCATTTCAGTGATCCCTGTCTTACATCACATGGCTCTTTTTAATTATTGATTGCATAGTCATATTCTCTCTTCCTCTGTTAATCCCTCCAGCTTTCTCTCTCTCTCTCTCTCTTTCTCTTCTCTCTCTTTCTCTTCTCTCTTTCTTTCTCTTCTCTCTCTCTTTCTCGTTCTCTTCCCTCTCTCTTTCTCTTCTCTCTCTCTTTCTCTTCTCTCTCTCTTTCTCTTTCTCCTGTACCTTCTGTTCCTGTCACTTCCATTCCTTTCTAATGAAAATAAGTGTACATCATTTGTCTATGCATCCTAACATCTTACATACATACATACATATTGATATTTATATAGCGTCTTTACATAAACATGCTCAAAGCGCATCTTATTGCTACTTATTTTTATTTTCTTTCATATGTATTTTCTTTCCTTTCTGTCTTCATATTTTATTTCTAGATGGCTGGCTAGCCCAGTTCTGTATACTCAAAGAGGAGAAAGTCAGAATGTACAAGATGGCATTTGATACGGTAAGTTTTCGGTTCGTTTAAGTTTAACATGACAAAAGGAGATAATGCTGAAATAACATTGAGGGTAAATACTGATATATTTCAGCTACATGCAGCATTTTGTTGAAAGTGGCCGGAATTTTCATTTTACTGGAATAACAAATTACATACTTTGATAAAACGACATGTTTATATTGGAGAAAACTTTTTGTCATTGAGTACAAATTGGAGTAATGTTATTTTTTAGTTTTTTTTAGTCCGTTGTTGGTCTGGTGTTTGTCTCATTGGAGTGACTAGGGTGTGAGCAATCATGTATATGCTTGTAAATTACAAGCAACCCAAAAGATCAACGGTTTTAAATACCCTCTAAGGGACTTGGTAATGATAATCAATGTTTTTTTTTCTCCAAATGGCAATAACCTTGGTATCGAACCCAGAACCTTCCGATCTTGAGATCACTGCTCTAAACCACTGAGCCATCACACCACCTCTTGATGTCTGCAATATTATTTCATCTGCAGAATATAATTCATGCTTAAAATGAAGGTTGAGTTCTTGGAAAGGCAAACAAGATTGTGAGCTTTTTCATTCTTTTATGTTAGTGTTGCAAGACTATCATAGAATTAATGTCCATTAAGAAAAGATGGCTCCTCAAATGTCTTCATATCCAAAATATAACAAGTACCAGCTAATGATTGTGGAGCACACTTTCATGTCGCATGTTTGTTTTGTCCCATTTTAACACATTTTTGCATACAGTGCATGTGACTTTACGCAAGACTGGGCCAATGATCATTTTGATGATCAGCTTTTTTCAATCACTTTGACACAGTATTTTTTGTAATGCAATTACATGACCAGAACAAGGGATTTAATAGAGATATTTTTGTTTTGTTTCAGATTGATGAAGATGAAGATGGATTCTTAAATCCGTTTGAGACTTTGATGGCATTGAAAGGCATCACTGGTTCTTCCAGTCTCTCAGAGAAAGAAGAGGCCTATATCTTGAGGGTAAGCACCACACCATGTATGACTAAAGGCTTGTTCACATATATATCATTGGCCGGGTGGCAGCAGGGCGTTAGCGCGCGAGCGACTCAAAAACTACTTTTTGAATTATTTGCATTTAAAGATTTGTTTTCTATGTTAACTGCCTTCCGTCCCGAAAATTGGTTTAAAACATAAAAGACTAATGGAAATGTTGGAGTAGAACACGGCCACAACGCCCTTCTGCTTAAAGTTTCATTATGGACCTGAAATTCGAGCTAACGCCCTTCTGCCAGCCAGGCGACGATATTGTGGTATGGCAGTTTACAGTGAGGATTTCTAAAAGTAATTAAGCAAAGTGCTCTACACCTTTGTGAATCGTATAACACACAGATAGGGAGTATGCGTAGGATCAATCTTGTACATGGCTACTTCTTTCATCTCGCTGCTATTCATTTAGTACACCAACAAAATGTTGGGGTTTACTGCGGTATATGTGATCAAGCCTCTATGTTGCAGTTACGTGGGGGTGAATCAAAAAGAAAAAAAAAAAATCTTTTTTGACTTTGCTGCGGTTCTTTTAATTCATTAAGTTGTGAAAGAATTAAATAGGGTTTACAGGAAAAAATAGGTATGTGAAAAACACCTTTCCAGCTCATTATCAAGTCCTTCGGAAAGGACCTAAAGCTGTCGGTCCTCTGGTTGCTTACTTACAAGCATTTATGCTTTCTTAGCAGTCAGGTAAATAACCACCACTACCACTATCCTTGTTCACTCTGATTTTCTCATTCACCTCATTTATTGCAGTTCAGCAAAATAAAGAGGGATGCGAAGCTATGTTTGGAAAGTTTTAACATTACCATAAGTAACAAATCATGTGTAGATGATTTATGAATATCGCTTGTATGTCCTTCAAATGTATAAATAATCAGTTTTCAATGGTTCAAAGGAGGGGGGGGGGGGTGCAATTTGACTTCAGAGAAATGGCAGAATTGATCTCTGACACTAAATGAGACTTCAAGCTGTAACTCTATGCAGCAACGTAAATGGAAAACTGTTTTCACTCTCACTCTCAGTAACTTACTTGGATCTGTTGTCTTTTCCCTCAACAGGTTCTTGATTTAGCAGACTACAATATGACACATGGAACCGATTTCAGATTATTCTCCATTATGGCTGCACTATACCAAAGGATATCTTCAATTGAGTAAGTATACCTTACTCGTTTCTATCTTATGTAGGCATGAATTTGTGATGGAAAAAACATCAAAAAAGAAAACATTCCATAAATTAAAATGGATAAGGGTTTCAAACTTTTGATGAAAATTTGCCTTTTTCTTGAGCAATATGAAAAGTAATGATATTCACATCATTTTTTAAATAAAAATAAAAATTACTTTTGAAATTTACATTTGATTTGAATTTTACAATCATACTTGCAATAAAGGATGTAATTTTTATCCATGCATTATCATGAATTTTCTCATTATTGTAGCCCGCTCTAGACTATTCAATGTGTACTGAATATATCGCATAACATTCATTCTCGGTTCTCCTATTGTGTCAAGACAGGGTTTTCTAAGGCTTTGTTTTCTTAGGGTTAATAGTGTGAAATCTATGTAAAAAATAGCATTTTGTCCTATTGCCTAATGATATTAATGTGCAATAACAGATCTGTGCTGTGGTATAATGTATTTCAATATGATTTTTTTTTTACTTTTATACAGCAAATTTGTGAAAAATGTGATTGAAAAGATGGACCTCCAAACACTAGACTGGAAAATATTCCGTGCAAAGGTGAGCATTATGTTTTATAACTTTGAATAGTAGTTGAGGTGGGAATACTCTGTAAAGGCATGTACCCGTTCATTAAATTTGTTGATATGGTCTTCATTTATTAAAAATTACAGCAAATGAAGACCCATACCAGTTTGATTTTTGCATACTGCAACCCGACTATTTTTTATGTTGTGATGATATAAACTTTTATTTTTTACTGCCTCAAGATTCCATATTCTTGCGAAATGTTCAGGAGTTGTTCAACTTTGTTATGTAAGAGGAAAATCATTTGTTCAGAATACACGTGGGAATTATGCAAATCATGTATCTTTTTTTCTCACACTAAATTCAATATTGTTGTTTCCACCATTTTCAGGATTTGTTCAATTGGTGCCTAGATGAAAAGACAAGACATTTCAAGATGGACAGGCTGTTAATAGAGCTTAGAGCAGGTGGAGTCAGTCTGGAACATCAGCTAGAGTGTGAGGACATACTGGGCCCCAAGGGTCCCATGGACATGCTAGACTTTCTCACGTACCTACCGCTTTTCATCCTCATGCATGACTCCGTTGTTGACAATCCTCTTGATATGTCCATGGATAAGTGAACGATCATGACAAAGTACTACTTTCGAACATCAGCAAGAGTATGAAGACACTTTGCCCAAAGTGTCCTATGGACCTTTTAGAATTTCTCATGTATCTTCTGCTTTTTGTGAGCGTGCATGACTCTGTTCTTAAAAACTGTTTAGATATGACCGTGGATAAGTGATAGAGCCAAATGTGGGAGTAGCAAGTCTGGGATATCAGCTAGAGTTTGAAGACATCACTGGCCAGAATTCCTTCAACAACCTGACTGCTTGACATGTCTGTGGATGACTTAGAGTGATGGATCTCCAATGGTTATGGAGCTGGTATTGCGCTGAATATCCATCTCTTAAAGGCCATCTGTACTAGTTTGGCCAAGGGGTAGTTATCTCATCAGATCAGCTCTCAATTAACATAAGAAAAAGGGGATCACTGGGGACCAACAGGCACCGATTAGACATTGTTTGCTATATAGAGGGCGCAAGTAGCTACAAGTAGTGCCGTGGGGCTTTAATGGAGAGACAGGGATAGAGATGATTCTCTGGACAAGTGATTCATTGTCACAGGGTTAGTGAGGCCATGATCAACAACTACTTTCCCTTCATGAAGCATCCCTGTACCACTGGAGAGACTGGGATGGAGATGATTCTCTGGACAAGTGATTCATTGTCACAGGGTTGGTGAGGCCATGATCAACCTCTGGTTTCCCCTTCATGAAGCATCCCTGTACTAATGGAGAGATGAGGATGGAGATGATTCTCTGGACGAGTGATTCATTGTCACAGGGTTGGTGAGGCCATGATCAACCACTGGTTTCCCTTCATGGAGCGCCCTTGTACTAATGGAGAGACGGGGATGGAGATCATTCTCTGTGCAAGTGATTCATTGTCACAGAGTTGGTGAGGCCATGATCAACAACTGGTTTCCCTTCATGGAGCATCCCTGTACCATTGGAGAGATCAGGATGGACAAAAGCAATGCAATCATGTTTTTTTTTTATCATGCGGAGGGGAGACTATGGACCAATGGTACTAATACCAATGCTCTTCTTAGAAAACAAAAAACAAATCATCTTTGATAGTCCCCGCTTGGAGGGAGAAACGGGGAAGGTGATGAGATCTTTATGGCCATGGACAAATCATGTTGTTACTATTATGTGTTTTAAAGGTATAGACCAGTTTCGGAAACGCCCCCCTCTCAAAAAATGAAATGGAAGCTCTTATTACCAATCATGTAAAAGAATATGTTGTGACTAATATGTGATGATACAAATTTTGCCGGGAAACCGCCTACTAATTGATATGTTTAGTAAATTATCATATCTATCCAGCCTGGATAGATATCGCGTAGTCCCATATACATCTTTCTGTGTACAGTGCTTGTAACTTTACCGAGACTGGGCCAAATTTTGTATCTTTTTGGTGATTCCAGAACCTTGCAGTACACACCGATACTTATATGCTACATGATCAACCTTTTCTGATCGATTCAACAACGTTTCTTTCACAATGCAATCGCATGACCAGAACTGGTCTATACCTTTAATGATAATGACGCCGACTTTGCTGTTATGTGGACCTTGTGGTGATTACGATACATGGATAGAGGCATGTCCATTGTCAGGGATGCCAGCCATTTATAAAAGTTTTGAAGAGTAATTTTTATCTTATATATATTTGTTTTGATAGAGCTATATCTGTGGATGTTTTACGAGTTTGAATATATATCGTCGCTGTTTTCACGAAGTGACGGTAGTGAAAAAAAATTGCATTCACTTTGCGTTACGATTTTCCTCACTACTGTCACTTCGTGAAAACAAGGACGATATGTGTCATTTAATGCAAAAACTAAAATAATTTTCATTCTTGCCAGCATGTATTTGATAGAGGAGATTCTCTGTTTTTACTTTCAGTAGGAACCAAATTTAAAGATGGACCAGTCTGATCGGTGAAGAAAATCATTGATAAAAATATCTGTTCTTCAGGCCATCAGTATCAGACCAAAATGAGCTTGCCAAGTCTCATTGTGAGCTTACGATGCACTAGTACTTAACAGTTACTGTATTTCTCAACTGATAGTATCGCTTACATAAGAACAAGGAGCTTTGTTGTTGAAAGCCTAAAGACACCTTGACTCTCGCATGCAACATGATGAGAGAGTCATGACTTGCTCATGGGAATGTGCAGTAGAGGAAAAAAAATGCAAGCCAGATTTTAACCAGTTGACTACTGATGTTTTGTATTCCCATAGAGTTAACACAGGGACCATTCTGTTCCTGTAGCCAATGGGTTAATTTTTTTCAAAATTTGTTTTGACTTATTTTTCTGGCAACCTTTTGTGAACAGTTCATGAACTATGCACAACCTTTATACCTCGGTTCAAGTGATTTCATGATAAATCATGGTAATGCCTGAATACTGCTTGAATAACCAATGATGTCTTAAAATTGATGTATGGGTCCAACATTGCCATACCATTTTGTGTAGCATTCCACAAAATGGCATGGATCAAAGTGGACGACCATAATTCTTGCTAAGTACTGTCATGGCACCTTTTCCCTCTACCTCAAATTTCGAGCATTTTTTCTTCTTCCCAGAAATCATCCCCTATTAAAAATGGAATCCTAGTATGGTAATGCCTTTTTCTTGAAGATAAGTTTCTAATCTCAATGTTTGTATTGGCTTGATGCAAACCTTCCTTGAAAATACATGTCGCTCAAATTTGATAAGCATAGTGATTATGTTTAAGTTGCTTTTCTTACAGTACTGTTTAGGTTTGTTTGAATCACTTTTCGGTTTAGGAAAATCATTAGTTCAACATATCCTTTTAATCTTTGTCCTTGACTCGTGTACATGTTCCTTTATTAGAATGAAATCCATTTACATGTATGTGTTTCTATCATGGTGAAATGTCTGCTATGGTTTCATACAAATGTAAAATCTGTGAACTTTAAATGCATGAATACTATACATGTATATTCATATCAAATGTCTGCATAATGCTCTGTGTAATCCAGTCTTTGTGCAATCTCTATATATTCTGTGTGTCAATTATATACTGCAATCTATTCTCCAGGTCTATTATTTACCATTTACTGTGCATTTCATGAATGCCGAAGGCCTTTTTATACTTCATCAACAGACTTCATAAGGTGAAGGGGTTGATACCTTGCAATGTTTCGCGTTTGACACATTTCTTTCCTTCAATTTCTTTCATGTGATTACATTTTTTTTATATGACCTTTAATAATGTTAATGATACCAGAAATAACTAGGAAATTATTCAAAGCTCATATCAGAATTTCTTCATTTTTCAATGACATGAATGGAGAAACATATGTCATACGGGACACATAGCAAGGAGTCAGGACACGATTGAAAGCCTGTTTTTCAGTGTTGGTTATTCTTTTTGCTACGTCTCTAGGTACACATTATTCTGCATTTCTTGATCAATAGGAAATCACTGATTTTTTCCTCTGGTTCTTAACATTACGAACCAGAGCAAAATAACAGTGATTTACCATTGAAATCTATTTATTTGGTTGGTCATATCTCAGCTAATACTAAACAATTGGTTTTCAACATATTGACATTATTTTGTATGCTCTTTCAGAAAATGAAGTTCAAATTTAGAAACTCTAAAAGTAATTTTTTGATGACGTCACACTTGACCACTCTATTGTCTTCTATGCTTGTCTCCTGCTCCCTTTAATCTTCTATCTTATCTCATTTCTTGTGGTTTCGTTTTAGTCATGGGAGGGGGGGGGGGGGCCTAGTTGTCATAATATATAAGTTTTTATGAACTATTTTTCAGTGCATTTCCGGTCATATCAGAATAAATTGTATCTTCTCTTGTTTCATTTTTATATAAACTCACATATCACACACTAAATGGAAATTTAACCCTGATTCTCAAAGTATGTATAATCTTACCATGCTTTTTTCACTACATGACATATGTATTATTTTCATGGTGTGTTTATATTTTTGCAACTTGGTTTTGTGATTTGCAATATTGTGTTATATATACCTTCAATTAATAAAGGCAATATAATAAAATTCAAGAATAAAAAATTATTTACCGCTATTCATTTGTGTTTGTATAAGGCGTATTATTCATTATACAAAATAAATTATGTGTTATATGTACTACAGTTAGACCTGTACAGCCCAAGGGAGATGTATAGAGCAGTCATTGTTTAGGAAAATCGTATCCTATGCAATTACTTTTGCTCAACGGGGAGGGGGGGGGGGGGGGGGGGGGAGTGGGTGTTGAGAAAATTGCTCCCCCCCCCCTTCGTTGAGCAAAATGATTGCTTACGAAACGGTAAGCTGGTTCATTTTACACGTTTGGTGGGAGGTTTTTAATTCAAATGAACAGTGGAAAAACATCAAATCACTTAAAAGGCATTCAAATATTACCAAAAAGATTACAAGAGGAGAAAAGATACAAGGAAATGGGTAGAAAGTAGAGAAGGGAAAAGAAAAAGAAAGAAAGAGAGGGAGAGAGAGAGAGAAATAATTTTCTTGTTGACTCGATCGTGCAATCACCCTCTGTGAGACAATATTCTTAAAGGCAAAATACATCAGTGTATTAAAACCCTGAGCTTGACTATCCCTACAATATGAAAAACCGAATCTATTGAGAAGATACATGTATTCAATATTTTGAAGCCAGTACTAGCTGATTCACCCTACTTTTCATGTATTAATCTATACCAGAACATCAACATAAGACTGGAAATATATTCTGATTTATACCCAGTTCACCAGTATAATGCACGATTGGGAGTCAACTTATGGACAAGAAGACCTTTTTTTTACAACATTTCCAATACAAATAAAATTCAATTCTATTAAACAGTATTGGTTGGACCGTTTGAATTGCATTTTTGGGGCATAATAAGAGGATCTTGAAGCCTGGTGCCCTTTGTTATTTCGACCAGCGAGACTGGAGAGTGACATTCGACCAACGACATCGGAGATCAATTGTTTTATTTCATAAAGTCGGTGAACGCACAATAAACTTCGTATTCTTCACCTTCAATTACCAGTCTAAAACTTGATTTCATAGTGAAAATATGTATACAAGATACACGAATATCCACCACTAAATAACCCCCCCCCCCCCCCCCCGATTCTGCATAATTTTCTTTTTGATTGGAAAACTGGAGGACACCGTATCATCAGTTTCAACAACAACATTTCGTTTGTAAAATCGAAGAGATAGGCTAGCGCTAGTGACGAATGTTATCATTTTTTTTCTCTCTAAATGCCGAGTTGCCGAGTCTCAACATACGTTGAATGATGGACACCGGGGACCTAGATGAAGTAACAGGAGAATTAGAGCAACCCCATCACCCACCTGATCAAGGAGATGGTAAGAATTTTTCATTTATTTTAATTCCTCATCTCGTTTCACTCAGCTCAACTCCGCCACATCTTCTTCTTCTTGCCTAATCTTGGTTTCCTCTAGCCGAACTCCAGGAAGCTCCGACCCCGACGCATGCAGGGCCGAAGGCGTCGGAGCTTCAGAGGGTCGAGGGTGAACAGGAAAGCGATTTAAACGGCGGATTGGAATTGGGCGACATTAGGCCTATCTCAAAACATGCAAAGCCAAAGAGAGTAACCTAGATCGGCAGTAGGTCTAGTGTAGTTCTGTATCCATTTTTTTAGCAGTTTAATTTAAAGTTTAATATCCATTCTTAGCAAAGGAATTTTAGCCCAATTTTTTACTAATTTTAATCATAATCATATGGCCTAGATCTAGATCTATTGCATTTTCCACCTGAATTTGGATCACATCCGACAACCTCCGTATAGGGCTTCGATGTTGACGTCGTCGCTCAGTACTGTAGAAATATGAGTGTGCGGTAAAAGTAGGGCGAATGTAAGAGCTGCTACATTACTCCCCTGCCAGAATTGAAGCTGTGTATGCAATACACAGATGAGAGGCGAAAAAGATTTACATGAGCAAAGTACAAAATGTCATAAGAATCAATGGCTGATAAAAATGTAAAAGTGCATGTAGACCTATTGTATTCTATAGTGTATGCAGTAATTATTTACAGCAGCCTACAAAATGTACAAGCATGGCATGTTGAAAGAATGTAATACAACAAGCATGGTATGCGAACGGCTGTTTAGTCGCCAAATATTGAACAGTGAGTATTGACATGGTATGCATCGAATAAACGTGTATAAATGCAAGAGCATAAAAAACATTTGATACATAATCCAGAATGAATACATTTTATAAAACATTGTTAAGTCCAAAAAATCTGGGAATAATAAAATCGTACAACCAAGCTTCCAAGTAAACGAGGGGTCACCAATGTAGAGATATGAGTGTGCGGTAAAAGTAGGGCGAATGTAAGAGCCGCTACAGTACCGTCTCTATGGCTACGCGCTAGCTAGGCACCTCAAACTGAAGCTATTAGTCCAAATTATGATGTCCTTTGCCTACGACCATACCATGCTGAATATACCGGTTCTCGTCCGATCACCGAAGTCGAGCAATCTATGCAAACTTCTTGTATGGTTTACGGAATTACGCGCATGCACGATACCATAACCCATACTAGAAGTTTGCATAATTTTGGACTGATAGCTTCAGTTTGAGTTGCAAAGCTATACTAGCGTAGAGACGGTACTGAGCGACGACATCGACATCGAAGCCTTAAACGGAGGCTTCCGATTTTGGATGTGGTCTAAATTCAGGTGTATATGTGATATATGATTATGATTAAAATTAGTAAAAAATTGGGCTAAATTTCCTTTGCTACGAATGGATATGAAACTGCTAAAAAAATGGATACGGAACTACACTAGCACCCCCTAGATCTAATTACAATTTGGACTAACATGTACTAAGTTGCTCGACTCCTCTGGGCCTGGGCATCTTGCCGGCTGCTTGAAATTATAATATGAAGGCATCTTCGATTGGGAAAAAGGGGGTGATTCTTCGTCCTGCCCCGACGATTCATCCATGTTGTCTCGTAGATTCAACATGGCGAAGAGAAAGTACACATGCAAGGACTACCGTGCATGTGTACTTTCTCCTCGCCATGTTGAATCGGCGAGTTCACATATTATGACGTCAGCATATTTTTGGAAAATTGATTGTACTTTTGTAGATCTATCTCTGTTAATATTGATCAATTTTCTTCCAAATTTTGATATGTTCTAGCTGAGACAATCTCCACAAATGCACTCTCCACGATTTTTCATTTTGACAAAGGGATCATGGCATATATTTGCGATTAAAGGAGGCATGTCAATTTTTCACTTTTTGCGTGTACTGATGGGACATCAAAACTGGGTTCTACATTCTCGTCTTTCGCAAGCAATATCTCCATCGTTTTATCTTCGTTTATGCTGAGCTTTGAGTATGTTGTAGCTGAGACAATAAGCTATCAGAGGTGTGCCCTTTATATTTCGATCAGATGCCGGGATCATGCTCATATTTCACTTGCAAAGCGGGATTTGAGAATTCCATTTTCCGTTTACGTGTAATCGCTATGGGAAATGTTTTGGTACATCGGTAACGCACTTGACTTCCAACCTCAAAACCCCTGGTTCGAGTCCAGGCGTCTCCAACGATTTGTTTCTTCACTTTTTTTTTTCTTTTTGACCTTTCACTGTACCATCTCCTTTGAATATTAAAACACGTAGAATCGCAAATCGTGTAATAAGCAACCATATTTACTTTATTAGTACCCTATTTTCACTGGATCCATTACTTTTTGTGTGTAATTCCTATGGGAGATGACTTTTTCTCAAATCTGGATTCTATATTCCTGTCTTTTGCGAGCAATATTGACGTTATTTCTGCTTAAATTTTTGAGTATGTTATAGCTGAGACTATATGCTGTCTAAATCATCCCTCATTTTTTCAATAAGATGTCAGGATCACGTTCATGATCATGACCATCATCATCATCATCAACATCATCATCATCACGATCATGATCATTATCATGATAATCATTATTATCGTCATCATCATCACCATTATTGTCATCATGACAATCATGATCAGGATCAAGTAGATCATTTCTCAATACTTTGTTTCATATTTACATCATTAGGCCTACCGTAATTATTTTGATATTTTGTTGCATTTAATTTGATCATGATCATTATGCATGATGATGATCATGATAATTTCTAGATATTTCATTCATCAGTTCAGCTCATTAGCTTAGTTTGGTTCATCAGTTCATCAGTTTAGCTCATCAATTCAGTTCATTTTACGTCAGTTCAATCTATCAGTTCATCAGTTCATCAGTACTTCATTCATCCATTCATATCTTAATACATAATTTTACATTAACATCATTATATTGGATAATTGAATTGAAGATGAGCATGATCATAAGAATTGAAGACAGACCACCTAATTCGTCCTCATGACGAATTAAATTTCTAGTATTATTATAATTGTCATTTCTATTATTATTATTATTATTATCATTATTATTATTTTTAGTACTATTATTATTATTATTATTAATTTTGTAACCCTTATCTTATCAGGGGGAAGTAGAACCATACTCATCAAAATAGAACCCTTGGATGAAGAACAATCCATGGACCAGTGGTTGAACCTAGCCAACAATCAAAATCCAGAAACAAGATTGAATCCAGCAGGTAGGTATTTACTACTCGGGTCATTTAGGACGAACAGCAGAGTTCTCACCAGGGAAAAAAAATTTAAAACATTTTGGGGGCTACTTTTCAAGCTTGCTTGCATGAAAATAACACTCTTCAATTTGTTTTGCATTGAACTCTATGCAAATTTTTGTTGTGCTCTTTTATGACTTTGGGGAGCTCTTTTTGGCATTCATGGGCTATTTTGCCCTGAGCCCCCATGTATTTTTTTCCCTGGTTCTCATGGTCATGGAAGAACCTGGAAATTCTTGGAAAATTACGGAATTTGATTGTGGGTGTGGCCATATGTGGCTATTGCAACGCAACCTCCCATGAAATATGGCTGTGTGGTATTTGTATGCTGCTTGGATGCTGCAACCCATATCAAAATAGTACTTATCTGGTCATGGAAACAGACAAAAATGGGTCATGGAAAGTTAGGGAACTTGGTTCCCAAATGCTCGTTAGAATCCTGTTACAGAAGGTGAATACACATACCACACTGACATAGTAACCCTGAGAAATAAAAAAACAAAATACCAGGGCACCGTCTTACAAAGAGTTGCGATTGATCCAAATCAATCGCAAGTCCTCCAATCAATCGCAAGTTTGCAGTCTCCTGTCTCTTTTGTACATAGTTGCGATTGATATCAACTCGTTGTACTAAGACGGGGCCCTGATCTAAAGTACCGGTATGAAAATGAATTAGATTCTTACATGTACTTAGTAGTGTATTGTGTTGGAAAGTCCCTATTGTTTGATGAGCAGCTAACCCATAACGTCAGGATTGGGCATTCAAAGTGTACTAATATGATCTTGGTTCCCTGTGCAGCCTTTTCTAAGTGAGTGTCTGCTTCCTAGTCTACTCAACAAGTCATTTTACTGTTTACAGGGGGTACATGTACATGTAGCTGCAACATAATATTAGAAATAATATTTGAAGCTCATACCATATTTTCAATACCATATAGCAACATGGACCCTTATATCACGAGCAAAATGTGTGTTGGTGATTGGTACACTTTAAAGGTACTATGTCCCTTTTGCAGTCCAAAAAATGAAAGGTTAAATTCCAACGGCATTTGAAAGATAATACTAATTTAGAACTTCCCTAAAAAAAAGGGGGCTTGAAAATGTCTTTAAGTGGGAAAATAATGACTATCAGTTGTCAAATCGACTTAAGAGCTATAGAGCCAGTAAGTAATAGTCTGATTTATCAGACCATTGTATGGAATGGTTGTACATGTACGTTTCATGCTGCGCAAAGATTCAATCAGTTTAATTTTGGCCATTACAAGAAGTGGGTTATTGATGTAGACGAATGCTCATGTACCCTTTACAGCTCATTATGTGTCATTACCAAAGAAGAAAAAAAGCCAGCCAGTCACTCAATAGTGTCTGACAGTGAAGTCTAGCAAGTAAACAGGTTTCCTTGTATAATTTGAATATTAGGACACTGCTAACGTTTAAATTCCTGCAAAGTTCTATAGAAATTGATGTTGGCTACAATAGGGACAGTTTCTTTAAGGCATTAAATATTGCCTTTGGTGATATTTATCTTTTGACTACCGGTACAAAGTTCCTGTATACATGTGATCTGAGAGATTAGATGCAGTTCCCGCTTGACTATTCACTTGCTCATTGCTATAACATTATTGCTATAACAGAAACCAAAATAATGGCTCCCGTCGGAAATGTAAAATGCCATGATATGCCTGAATAGTTTCCCAAAGTCCTTTTGTTGAGTTATTACTGAGTTATTACTGGATAAAGAATACAACATGGGAATAAAGATCTGATATTAAAAACTATTTAATATTGCCGTTTTTCAGTATTGAACCTTTTTTGTTGTTGGAAAGTCTGAACTCAATGAAAAAAACTTGCGATGGAATAGGTGAAAGATATTTCATGGTTGGGTCGCATCACAGGAAAGACATGCTACATAATTCACTGCAACAACAACAAATTCATCCTCTTTGTACAATTACTTTTCTATCTTGTCCAACATTTCTTTGTTTCACTACTAGGTGTGAAAAGGGAGCCTGATGAAAGCTTTGAAGATGAGAAGCAGAGGGTAAAAAATATTAAGGAGGAGGAGAAGGAGGATGAAAGGGATGGCTCATCGTCTTCAGAGGAGGAAAGAACCAAAAGCTCATCAGAGGATGAGGGGGAGGAGAATGAGAAGGGGCAGGAAGATTCCGGGGATGGCTGGATAGAAGAAGATGAACCCCAAGATGAGATGGAGGATGCAGAGAAACACAGTGCAGGTAATCATGAGTGTCTCTTACATTCCTTTTAACCGCTAAGGCTCATTCAAACATGATACTTTAAAGCCCCACTGTACTACTTTTAGCTACTTGCTCCCTCTATATAGAAAACAGTGCCTAATCGGTGCCACTTGGTCCCCTGTGATTGATGAGTTGATGAGATAGCCACCTGTCAATGACCTCACTGGGTGGTCTAATCCCTCCTGCCTACACTAGAACAGACAGCCTTTAATCCATCTCAGAAAACTGCTGCGGTAAGAGACCACTTTGCAGTTTACACTTGTGCAAGGCTGGGGTCGGGGTGTGGGGGAGGGGGGGGGGCACATAGGCACACTCGCTCACTAGCTGTTTGTTGTTAACTCTTAAGCTGCCACCCATACAATGCACCCAGTGCCACAGTGCTAATCCCTATTGTGCCAGCCACAAATCTCCTGTGTGCCAAGTTAATTTTACGGTTGGTTCAAGTGCGTGTTATTTAAATCTTTACAAAAAACAAATCACTAAATTACTCGAGAAAATCCAATCTGACTGTTGTATACAAAGACGCTTAATCCAAAGCCGATAATCTGATGCACGCGATGGTACTTTCAATAGCGCTGCAAAAGCACTCAGCACGGTGCAATGGGCATGAACAATGACTGTTATTACATATGCGCCCTTGCGTGCACAAAGCAGAGTAGCGGTGGCTCGCTAGCATGAACGTGGCATTCAATCGATAGCGCTCTCGCGTGCACAGAGCACTATAACAATAGCGCGCTAGCAGTCTCATGGCAGGATATGAGTTAAATATAGAAAAGTGAAACAAATTAAATGCCACCATAAAACACACATGTAGATGATAACAAAAAATGGAGAGAAAAAAATGCTGTGATTTTCTACATCATATATGAACAAGCCTGTTCCATGTGTAAGTAATGCCTAGCCTAGGTCACATCTGCTCTAGGATACGGCATCCGTAGGCCCTCGAAATCAAGAGATACATGTACTTGCTGAGGCTGCAGAGGATCTGCGGTGGCCTTAGGGTCACCCTAGGGCGTATCCCTATCTTTACAGGCTGTACGGGTCGCCATGGGATTATAGCGTGGAGTTATAACTTTTTTCATTTCTAGGTTCACTGTAGCAATTAGACAAGGCACACTGTAGCCATATGCCTAGAAGAAATTCCACGGCGACCATGCGTTGGGCATACAGTGGCCTTGCTACTACTTTGTGTCTGCCTTGGTATTTGTCAAAAACCTACGGCCGCAGCAGGGACGCCCCTGGGTCATCACTTCAAAAGCCGTACGGTAGCCGCAGGTTTTCTGAATCCACAAATTCAAAATTCGTGATGCGGCTACCCTAACATGTGACTGCTACCATATGTGACCGTGGGAATTCTGCGGTCGCCCTATAATTGCTATTGGTCTTAGATATTTTAGACCCCATGTGACCTAGGCAGTAATGACTAGCTCGGTGAAAAGAAAAGGAGCTGTCCTCAATGAAGGCCCCTGTTACAGTACATGTGCATGCAGTTGTGTATTATCAGAGACACAAACAAGCGCGAGGGATTCATTGTCATTTTAGTTTGCTATAGGCTCATGGCAGTTTTGATCTAGATTGTTTATTTCATTAACTGGAAAAAACACTACTCTCACCTTTAAGATGGCTATTAAAGCAGTAGAGGAGATCGAAGCCCAAATAATGCATCAATGTGTAGGATAACACAAAATAATGATGGCTTCTTTTTAACCACCAAAACACGTTCTCAGCAGGATGCTCGTAGTGTTTGCGTTGTAAAAACATTTCTCACAGAGTTGAGAAATAATTGTTTGGGGTCAGTGCTTCAATCTTGAAAGTTTTATTTTTCCCATCAATCAATACCACAACTAAGTGTGGGACAAAATTCAGCTGCAGTACTATTCACTTTATTCTCTTGAAATTCATAGCACTTATACCTTGATATTCTTCATCATAGATTTTATCATTAATTTTGCTAAAGTGAATTACATCAGAATCAGTGCAGATATTACATTGCCTCAAACTTGAAACTTGAATATTTGAACTACATGTACTGTACTTCCAAATCCTGACAAGCTACATTTGTGGGAAATCTTCTATTTATTCACAGATGAAAAATCCGATTTTGAAGCAAGTGAAAAGGATTCCAGTCAATCTCTCAACCAGGAGGTAAGCTGTCAAGTGAAGTGCAATAAAGACATGAACAGCTGCAGGAATGCATCAACTCAATGTACTTGCAGTGGGAAACTTGGTGAAAATATTCCCGACAGACCTAACAAGTTTGATAGGCAATCTGAAGGTACTAGAAGCATTTCTGCCACAGAGAACAGTAAAAACAAACGATTTGTGTGTTTTATGTGTGACCAGAGATTTTTGAGGAAGAACGGGTTAAAGATTCATATGAGAGCTCATACAGGAGTAAAACCATATCAGTGCTCTTCATGCGACTCCAGATTTACTCAAAAGTATCGTCTGAACGTACACATGAAGGTCCACACAGGTGAAACACCACTCTTTAAGTGTTCAGATTGTGGCAAAACATTTTACGAAAGGAGTACTCTCAAGAAGCATATGAAAATTCACAATGGAGCAAAGCTTTACACGTGTCAAGACTGTAATAAGAGCTTTATGTATAAGAATGAACTTAGCCGGCATGCCAGATGCCACACAGGAGAAAAACCTTTTGATTGTCCAAGCTGTGACAAGAAATTTTCCTGTGGGGGTGCCCTTGCACGCCATGACAGAACACACACGGGTGAAAAGCCATATCAATGTTTGGAATGCACTATGGGATTTAGACAAATAAGTCATCTAGCAGGACATATGAAAACCCACACTGGAGAGAAGCCGTTTGAGTGCCTTGAGTGCAGTAAGAGATTTCCTGGCAAGAGTGAGCTCTCACGGCATGCCAAAACCCACAGTAGAGAAAAGCAGTGCTATAAGTGTCCTGATTGTGATGACATGTTCTCCGACAAGAGGCGTCTCAAGAAGCATGTTGGAATCCACACTGCAGAGAAATATTATGAATATCCTGACTGTCCTAATAATTTGTCTATCAAGAGTAGTGTCGCATTGTACAGCAGACAGCATGCAGGAGAACTGCATTATCAATGTGCACAGTGTGACAAGCAATTTCCTTGCAAGAGTAAGCTTTCACGTCATGCCAGGTCTCACTCGGGAGATAAGCCTTATCAATGTGTAGAGTGTAACATGGAATTCAGACAAAAGTCTCATCTTGCGGGACATATGAAAACCCATACGGGGGAGAAGCCCTACGAGTGTCCCACCTGCCACAAGCGATTCACCACCAGGAGCCTGCGCTCGCGACATACCAGAATTCACTCGGGAGAAAGACCCTACCAATGCACCATATGCAACAAGAGTTTCTCTTACAAGAGAACCCTTACAGAACATATGAATAGCCACACAGGAGCAGAGCCGTACCAGTGTCTTATTTGTGATAAGAGATTCAGATATAGCAGTGGTCTTTCAGAACATAAGAAATCACACAAGGGAGAAAAACTTGAACTATAAAGGTACCTTACAGAAATATGTTGGCAGATGGCACCTTGAAAGCAAAAGGCAAGATTATCGGTAAATCTGAAAGTGTGATACAGCTTTTCTCATGTACAGTTTCAGTATGATATAATACCTTGGGGCAAGAGGGGTGTACACCATAAATCTCCTTGTATAAGATGCATCTGTGTATTTTTTTGTTTTTTTTGTGTGCAGACTCTGTATGCAGCAAGCCAGGTCCGTGTTAAAAAAACCACGGGGGAAGGACTTTCATTGCGAGGTGCAGTTAAAGGGGCCGATTTGTGCTTGTGAACATGTCACAAGTAATAGTAACAATGTCGTTTTTAGAAGAATGTGTAAGATCATTAATGTAAATTAAAAACAGTAAAGGACCTACACCTGTAGGATAGAACCTTGTGGTACGCCGTGTGTAATAGAAGAAAATTGGAGGAAATATTATTATATACTACATATTGAGATCTATTAGAAAGAAAACTTTCCAACCAGGATCACAGACAAATATGAGTGTTATTCTGGTTTCCGAGTGGTGAGTCAACACACCGATTACTAAGCTGGAAGACATTGCCAGGCATTTTTTTTTGTACCTGTGTATTAGACGCACCCCCAACTTTCGATTTTTTCCGGCGGCAAAAAAGTGCGTCTTATACACAGAGATTTATGGCATGTATACTAGGTTCATATCCTTTAGCAATGTGTGAAGTTACCCAACAGTGCAATGTATGACACCTCTTGATTTAAGCGTTACAAAGTAAGCATTTATGCAACCGTCTCACCTTACAATCCAAGGGATCTCTTTGGCTCTTTTAAAAGAGCACAAAAGGGCCCATCTCATTCGGCAGTTTTACAGAACACACTTTGAAATGAATACAGGATATAGAGTTGATGGGAGTTTGATGCAGGATATAAAACAAACATACCATGCCTTCTATTTGAGGTACTGGTTAAAACTATGGGACTCCAAAAGTACCATTTGCGCATAGTTTTAACCAGAACCTTTCAAGACTGTATATTTGTATAATATTTGCAGTAGTGTGGGATACATGGTATCTGTACAAACCATCAACAGTTTTTGGAATAAAATTTACAGCTTAGTGGAAAAAGAATACTTAATTATGTGAGAATACTTTGTTTTTCTTTCCCATTTCTTTATAGATTATAAATGTGTATTAGGGCCATTCCATGGTAACTCGCGTTACACTTAATGGGTACATTGACACGATAATGTGCCTTTATCTTTAGAACTGCTAGGATCTACAAGATACTTTTTTCAAACATGGACAGGGTAGATATAGAACAACTGAATGAAACAAAAAAGAAAATTGAAGAACAAACATTTTTAGATTCTTGGATTATTGAATTTCGGTAACTCGCGTTACAAAAAAAAGGACATGGTCAATTCTACGAGACCCTCTTTTCTCCTCATACTAGACAATCTTGACAAAATCTTTCCTACTTTAATTTGATAGTAGGTTGTGACTTACTAGTATAAGATCACAATATTAAAGATAAGAAACAATGGACTAGTAAAATGCAGGAAGCAAATATGTCGGTAACTCACGTTACGGTAACTCGCGTTACATTTTGTCCGGAGGCCATTTTCACCCCTATGTAATAGATTAAATATCACAGGACCCCTTAGAATATGGAAATATATTCATCTTTTTCCATTTAGCGAAATTTTCAGGAAAAAATATTACAAGAATCCTGTGTAATCTGCAATAAATTGGTTTTTTTTTCAGCTACAGTCCCACATGTACGTTTTTGATGATAGTTTGAGATCTTAGGAAATCAACAAAAATGAAAAAAAAATTGTATTGAATTTGAAAGGCCCTAATGTTTTATGAACATCCATGGCATTAGGTTAGTGATAAATCAAAGAATTAACATAAGAGGTACATTTCTTTTTTTGATGTCATGTCCTTCTTCTCATGGAATGGCCCATTAACTTTATTGAAATTCTGTCATATATCTTTCCCATTTTTGCACAGATCAGTTGACTATAGACGGCATAAGCGTTGAGGATGGAGATTCCATGAAAGACTTTGACGTAGACATGTACAACTCTATTGAGGAGTTGACAGAACAGGAGGACCTTGCAGGACATAGGGATACCCACATAGGAGAAAAGTCCACTACTGCAGGGAAGCCATATCAATGTGCAAACTGTGGAAAGACATTCCGCCGTAAGGGGAATCTCTCAAATCATTTGGTCAGCCACAATGAGGACAAATCTTTTCGTTGTGCTCAGTGCGACAAGAGATTTTCGGAGCATGCCAAGTTCACCAGACATATGAAACACCACTCGAGCTTTAAGCCCCACATGTGTCCAAATTGCAACAAGAGCTTCCCCTTCAGGTGTAAATTAACCGCTCATATGATGGTTCATACAGGAGAGAAGCCGTTTCAATGTCCTCAATGCAAGAAGAGATTCACACATGAGTATAACCTATCAAGTCATATGTTTATCCACGCAGGACAGACGCGCCATCGGTGCCCACACTGTGGTAAGGGGTTTTACTCAAACAATGATCTCCTAAGGCACATTCGCAGCCACACAGGGGAGAAGCCCTTTCAATGTTCAGTATGCAGTAGAATTTTCACGCGCAAGTCAACTCTAAAGGCACACATGATCATCCATACTGGGGAGAAGCCATTTGAGTGTCTGTACTGTGACATGACATTTCCTCGTAAGATCACGTTACAGAAGCATATGAATAGCCACACTGGCGAAAGCCCAAACCAATGTCATGTTTGCGAGAAGAGATTCACTACCAGAAGCAGTCTTAAACGACATACCAGAATTCACTCAGGAGAAAGACCCTACCAATGTACCATATGCAACAAGAGTTTCTCTTACAAGAGAACTCTTATAGAACATATGAATAGCCACACAGGAGCAGAGCCAGGAGCAGTCTCAAACAACATCTCGCCCAGATACACAGCAGTGAGAAAACTTTACTAATGGCTGGAATACGAGTTATTGATAATGATAATAATAATAAGTATAATTTTTATTACCCAGAGAAGCTTTTATATCAGCATAAATGCTGTTCCCACTGGCCCTGTAATTCTGATTACCCCATCAATTGCTAGGTACCCACCTGGGTTGAGAGTGGCAAATGTGGATTAATGTCCTGCCAAAGGAAGTTATCACCCGGCTGGCGTTCAAACCTTAAGTCCTTGTTAATTTATTTAGTAATTTATTTCTGATATTTATACACGGTAGGACATTTTCATCAATTATGGCACTGGTCTTTCTTGAAGCCCTGATTAGTAAAAATAATACCAACACTTATGAATATAAACTGATAATAGCTACAAACCAAAATACAGAAGAAAATGAAAAAATAGCTGTACCACTAAACCACAACACCCGGGCAGGGCCGGGCGGATCCAGCTGGCGGCATGGGAAAGCGGGAATCCAGGATTCTCTGGCGGGAGGGTGAGGGAGGGGGCTTATTTCAAGAAATTATTTGAGAATCCTCCCCCCCCCCCCCAAAAAAAAAATGAATATGGGGGCATCATCATTATTTGCCCTCCCCTCATCCCTTGGTTTGAATTATAATTATTTTTTGGAGGGGGCGGGGGGGGGGGGGGGGGGGGACCATACCCCCATAGCTTCTTCCCCCCCCCCCCCCCCCATCCCCGGCTATTGATATAAGATTATCTTTCACACTATTGTCTCTAATACTCTCTATCAATATAAACTGTTCATTGTAACATCTCAAATGTATTTTTTATGACGAATGTAAATAAATGAATGATTATTAATTTAATTGATAAACTTTGATGAACATTGTACATGTATCTGCATTTTCTCATTTTTTTCCTTCACATTAATACATATTCTGGAATGAAAAGTACCCTTTTGAAGTTCACTATAGTTGATGCCCTTCTGGCCCTTAACATCAGCCCTAATTAAGCCAGTTCTGTAATTGTATGGTAGGGGAAGGGAATCTTGATGACGAAAAATGGATAGAACAAAAATATATTGTGAGGACAGTGAACAAGTGTTTGAGAGTCTGGGAAAAAAAGTTAAGTCGGAGATTGAGAAGCAGACAGGGCTGTGGGTTGGGCGGGTTATAGAGAGATAGAAGTTGCGATCAATAAAAATGACATAGAGGGAGGGGGCGGTTAGACATGAAATTAAAGTTAAGGGCAATAGAAGTGAAAGATAGAGAGACATAGACAGGAAGATAATCAAGAGCAAAACAAGTAAAGTATTAGAGAGAGAAGGGAGGTGTAAGTGGCAGAAGTTAAGAGTAATAATAGTGTGTGAGAGAGGGGAGGGATACAGAATCGCGTGTGGATTTTGTAATAACGTCGGAAAGAAAAAATTCACCAAAAGTATAATGTACTCTCTTTTTTTTTAAAGAGCACAACACACCCTCGGATTGAGCATTCTATCTCATGAAGATGTAGCTGAACACGCCCTGACACACTGCCCGCATTATTGTGTTAATTTGATAGGCACTTATGGTCGTTCGTTTGTGTCTCCTTACATCAAGGTAGTTATGTAAATTTCCTTAATTAAATTAAAATTAAATTAAGTTCTTTCATCGCCCGATTGCTGCAATGGCCGTTTCATTAACAAGGGCCAGATCTTCATCGTCGAGATATAGATGAAAGAATTCGTCTAAATGAAAATGATCAATCCTTCACTGAAAAAGGAAACCTGGCTTTCACTTTTCACCTACCTTCACTCCAGTGATTTCGAGGTAGCTAGCTCAGCAAGACATTGTGTAAATAGTCCTAAGCCTATTACAGGGGTGCTGGGCGAAAGCTTAATTGCTTTCTAAATTTCCAGGTTGGTACAAGCTTGAACTACGTGAAACACACTTATTCCTAAGGAAAATTTTATCCACCAAAAGGCTGTCTTGGGAACCACTTCTATATCTATACTTTTGAGGTCCAGGGGCAGAGCCTTTGCCCGGAGTCTATAGGGGGCTGAGCCTCGGGAAGTTTTTGAATTATTTAACAAGGAAGAAAATTCAAAATGGCCATCACGAGCTATAGAAATGGACATTTTTTCCTCGAAAGTCACGCGTAGCCCCTATCATTTCATTTTAAAAATAACATCTCTTTCTCTTTTAAAGACAATTTTTCAGAACTTTTTTCTAGTAGGGTCCTACTATTTTACTTTCGTACGCAGTCTTCGTTTATAGGCACATGTCTAGTCAATTACCCATCAGAAATGTAATCTCTTTGTTTCAATTCAAGTTTCATGTTTTTCCTTTTTTACTTTCTGTCAACTGTCAATCTTCTCCTCCACCCTCTCTCTTCTTCCTTCTTTTTTTAAACCTCATTTTCTCTTACTTTTTTTCATTTTCTTCCGTCGCTCTCTCTTCCCCCTTTATTCTTTTAGGTCGCCCGCCGCTATTCTTGGTTAATACAAATCTAAAGATAGAACAATATGTTAATTTTTGTTCTTACATTCCTTAAGATGTATTTTTTTGTATTGTATTGTATTTATTGAACTTAATTGATGTACATCAATATTCTGTTTATAAACATATAATTACTCTACAATGTAATGTAACAATAAAAAATTCTGTTTGTGAACATATACATCATATAAGTCAATTTACAATGTAATGTAACATATCAATATTCTGTAAACATTATATACCGTATAAATCAATTTACAATGCAGTGTTTATAGCAAAACAGAACACAAATTATACCCAACAGAAACACTCTTTTGTCTTTAAGTAATAACGTGACATAATGCATATAGTAATATAATGTACCATAAAACACCCGAAGATTTAGATATATAAAACATAATACAGCACTTTTCTAAATAAATTATAACTCATGCAATACAAAATAGGTAAATGGAATGCCTAAAATAAATGACGTAATAGTACACATAACTGCGACCTACTACAGAACTAAACCAAAAAGCATAAGATTGTACATTTCTACTTTGTTATAACATATAGTATCTAAAAATTGCCCCTCATTGCAATTATGTTTTTGGTGAAAAAAGAAAAACTATCTATTACAACTTCATTGTAATAATCTCATTATAAATATGAATTTTTCTTGACTATCCAAATTACTAAAATTTTCTTCCAGATTACTATTTTTTTCTATAAAATCTACTGGTAAGTATTTATACTTGTCACATTTCATAATTATATGGAATTCATCACCTACAAGATTCATATTACAGTCTTCAAAGAATCGTAGATTCGGGGGCGTTTTTTCTAGTCTTTTGTATGTATAATATATGTCTGCACTGAACACTGTGTGTTGTGGTCAACTTTATATGAGACAAATCCAATTCAGCAAACGTTTCCATATGTCGGCGAAAGCAGAGAGAAGAGGAAGAAAGTTGTGTGGTCGTGAGAACGACAGATCGAGAGAATTTAAGAGAGAATGCTGAAACACTACGCTCATTTAGGAGATTTCCTACACCACGCGGCCGATCACACAGAGTCAATGAGAAATTCAGACTTCGAAAAAAAAATCCCATCCTCCATTCACATAACAAATACTAGTAGAAACCATAATGGCAGAGTTTGGCAGTCTTCACTGTAGTATTTAGGAACTCAGAGACATAAAACTAGATACAATGAATTTAGTAGTTGAGATGATTTAATCTATTCCAAGATGTCCGATCTTATTGTGATCATGTGTACATAAAGGGGATTGAGCCCTCGACGTTGACTGTTAGCACAGTCTTACAAACACAACATATTTCCCTCCTTTAAAGAGATGAATAATGTTATATAACTAAGTCCAGATATGAGTTCAAAAGTTTATGAGTCCAGAAAATAAAACTTGTTTATTAACAACAAGCCTGAAATTTTATTAACCTATATTGAGCAATTGTTTCATATGAGTCCAAAACTTAAACGTTCCAGTTTTTTAATTTCTATGCTCAATACTTGTCGGCTCTAAGGATTTAAGATCTGTAATCTCGTAGATATCCAGGTCGTCTCCTTAGACGCTGAGAACGACGAACAGTTCGCGGTTCTGCTCGCTGTTGCTCTTGATCTTCAGTGCTTGTAGGGAATGGAAAGGTGTCTTCCCAATCGCTTTCATTCATGTTGCCTGGCTTGCTCGCGATAAGGCGTCTGGTGTTCCATCGCGTTCCGTCATCTAGTACAAATGCATTCGAGCCGAGCTTCTTCACGATCTGTTTGGGTTTCGATACCCCCGAAGCTAGCTTGTGCTTGCGATTTGGACGCTTTACACGAACCCAGTCACCGATAGCGAATTTCGGTGTGATTGCTCGTCTGCGTTTGTCAGTGTACGCTTTCATGCTTTGCTGTTTCCTCTCAATCTCTCTCGCTTCAGCCTGTGTGCTTGCAGGCTCTGAAACCGGTGGTTTCAGGATGTTGACTACGGAGTATACGGAGTATACCACGGAATATTTCTGCTCCCGCTTTTCACCCGTTATTTGCCTAATATTACATTTATTTGGACACGAGGTGATATTCCTTGTTGAGAAATTGGTAAGAGAATTGTTTTGTGAAATTATCTGAGCAACATGGTGAGAACAAGAAAAAAAGAACTTGAGCATAATAGGAAAGAAAAATCTGGCGAAAGTGACAGAAACATTTACGGAAGCCTGGCAACTGGAGACGCGGTAGAAGCCGGCATAGTAAATGGACAAACCACTCTCCAAAAGTCAGCTGCTCGCCCAAGCATGAGCTCGACGAGCAGCGAAGAGCAGGACAATACCTCGAACGCGGCGATTAAGCTTAATTCTCAGCCAGCCATCCAACTCCAAGAGGAGATTAAAGACGTAATCTGCTCTAAGCCGATCCTCGATCGTCTTGTTGCGCTGATAGCCGACGCCATCATGGAGAAAGTATCTCAAGACGTATACGCCGCCATCAACCACGACCTCGAAGTCAAGAACAAGGAGGTGCGATCGCTGGAAAACAAAATCCAGAAGTTGGAGAGGCAGTTCGTCGCCATGGAGAACGCCCAGGAGGAGCAGGCCCAGTACTCTCGCAGAAACTGCCTGCTGATATACGGAGTGGCAGAGCAGAACGGGGAAGTTACCGACGAAGTCGCGATGCAGCTCCTCAATTCCAAGCTGGAAGTCGATGTGAAGGCCACAGACATCGATCGAAGTCATCGTCTCTTCACGAAGAAACGTACGACGGACGACGAAGCCCGACCACAGCCAAGCCCATAGGAAAGAAATGAGCCTGCCGCATACTCCTGCGGCAGACTTGCCGCAGACAGTCATCTTTTTCACATGCAAATTAGTTTTGCCGCAGACTTGCTGCAGACCTGCCGCATACTCTTTCAGTATGATGAAGAGTCTGCGGCAGGTCTGCCGCAGACTTGCCGCACACTCTTTCAGTATGATGAAGAGTCTGCGGCAGGTCTGCGGCAGACTTGCCGCACACTCTTTCAGTATGATGAAGAGTCTGCGGCAGGTCTGCCGCAGACTTGCTGCAGACTTGCCGCAGACTTGCCGCATACTCTTTCAGTATGATGAAGAGTCTGCGGCAGGTCTGCCGCAGACTT